AAAAAGTATTCACAAGTGCTTTGACCCCATCACCCATGTGGAACACATAGATGGAGTTCCAAGGCTCTTTGCCTGGGTAGCTCTAGCAGTTGTGTGCATTTGGGGAGTGTCATTTTACCATTTTGCCTTTCAAGTGGATGAAAAAAAAAAACCTCATATAAGTAAGATAATCAGGCTGGTGCCGAGGCTCACTTGGCTAATCCTCCACCTGTGGTGCCGGCACCCCGGGTTCTAGTCCTGACTGGGGCACCGGATTCTGTCCCGGTTGCTCCTCTCCCAGTCCAGCTCTCTGCTGTGGCCTGGGAAGGCAGTGGAGGATGGCCCAAGTGCTTGGGCCCTGCACCTGCACGGGAGACCAGGAGGAAGCACCTGGCTCCTGGCTTTGGATCGGTGCAGCGCGCCAGCTGTGGCAGCCATTTGGGGGGTGAACCAACGTAAAAAAAGGAAGACCTTTCTCTCTTTCTCACTGTCTAACTCTGTCCAAAAAAAAAAAAAAAAAAGATAATCAGTACAATAAAAAGAGGACAGAAAGAATCAACAGTAATTTTTACCCAGTTCTTCCATTTCATAGGAATAATGATCAAAAAGAAAAAGAAGCTCAACTTTGCTAACTTAAGAATTACTTTTTCAGATTTTATTGATTTATGTGAAAGGCAGAGTGACAGAGAGACGACACACATCTGCTGATTCACTCCCCAAATGACTCAACAGCCAAGGTTAAGGCAGGCGACAGCCAGGAACATGAACAGCAAGATCCCAAGCACTTGAGCCATCATCTGCCTCCTAGGTGTGTTAGCAGGAAGCTGAATCAGAAACACAGGGCAGCCAGGACTGTTAAACTGATGTGAGATAAACAGGCAGGAAGTTAATTTAGGATTACTGAGCTGGAAGTCACAAGCTCCCATGTGTAACTCTATCCTACTTGTCAATCAAAATGTCCCCTTTCCCAGGATGCATCCATTTCATACAGGAACTGAGGGAAGATGCCATGAATATATTATATCGAGCTCCACAATGAACTTGTGTAAGCGTCATATATTTCCCAGGTAGCTTCACACCTGGAGAGGCACCACACTGAGCTCATAAAGGAGACCAAAAACTAGAAAGGGCTTTCTCTTCTGCCACAAATCACAGCTGGAGAGATGGCCAGGCACTTCTGTCTCCCTCCCTCCACGTTTCTCCTTTCAGGCAAATCTTCTGACCCACTGCCGTTTCATGACAGGTGTTTCTGTGTGGGACAACCCATGTTCACCTGAATATGTGTGTGTTTACTTTCTCAACTTTTAAATACACTTTGTGTCAGCACTTAGAATTTGTATCTTTGTGCATGACAGGGACCTGGAGTTAAAAAATAAATACCCATACTCACCCACATCAAAATCAGGCACTTTGATATGGGATAACAGTATCCCAAGTGTGGCTTAACCTGCTACAACCCAAGACCCAAACCAATTTAAGATATTTAAGAAAGTAATTTAGGACCCCATGCATCTTATTCAACAATGTATCACTTGTACTTGACAATAGTTAGTACTTAGTAGTTCTTAGAATGATGAATATTTGTTGTCAAGGTATAGAAAAAAGGAACCTTACACATAGAAACAATGTTGATCTTTCAGTGGGGCAAATTGACACAACAAAAATTTTACACTCTCATACCTTTGGTCAAAGCAATTCCACCTATAAGAATTTAAATTAAGGGGCCGGGGCTGTGGCATAGTAGGTTAAGCCTCTGCCTGTGGCGCCTGGTATCCCATATGGATGCCGGTTCATGTCCTGGCTACTCCATTTCTGATCTAGCTCACCAATAATGCACCTGGGAAAGCAGCCAAAGATGACGCAAATCCTTGGGCCCTTCCCCTTCCAGGGAAACCTGGAAGAAGCTCCTGGCTCCTGGCTTTGGCCTGGCCCAGCCTTGGCTATTGCAGCCATTTGGGGAATAAATCTGTGAATGGAAGACCTCTCTCTATCTCTCCCTCTCTCTCTCCGTAACTCTGCCTTTCAAATAAAAAAGTAAACCTTTTAAAACAATAAGAAAGGTAAGGAAGGTAAGGGACAGTGTTGTAGCATAATGAGTTAGACCACTGCCTGTGATGCCAGCATCCCACAAGAAGAGCTGGTTCATGTCTGGGCTGTTCCACTTCTGATCCAGCTCCTGCTAATGCACCTGAGAAACCAGCAGAAGACATGCAAAGTGTTCAGGTCCAGCCACCATTTGGGTGACCTGGTTGGAATTCCAGGTTCCTGGCTTTGGCCTGACCCAGCCCCAGTCGTTGGCAGCCATCTAGAAAGTGAACCAGTAGATGGAAAACATCTCTCTCCACCACTGCCACCCCACCCAATCTATAACTCTGCCATTCAAAAAAAAATTTTTTTTTAATCTTAAAAATAAATAAATGAATAAATTTGACAGCTTTTAAAAATTTATTTATTCATTTAAAACATAAAGCAACAGAAAGAGAGAGAGAGAGACAGAGAAAGACACAGCATGATCTTCCATCCACTAGCTCACTCCCTAAAGGGCCACAAAGGCCAGGGCTAGGCCAGGACGAATGATGCCAAGAACCCAAAACTCCACCCAGGTCTCCTACGTGGGCTGCATGGGCCCAAGGACTTTGGTTTGCTGCTTTCCCAGGCATATTAGCAGGGAACTGGATCGGAGGCAAGGCAATCAGAACTCCAACAAGCACTTCAATAAGGAATGCCAATGCCTTAAGTGGCAGCTTAACCTGCTGGGATATAACACCAGCCCCACTTTTTAAACTTCATTTCCTTCCATTTATTTGAAAAGCAGAGAGAAACAGAGACAAACATTCCATCCACAGTTTCATTCCCCAAATACCCACAACAGGGTCTCCCACGTGGGCAGTAGGGACTCAATTACCTACTACCTCCAGGGATCACATTAAGAGAAAGCCGGGACTACAAGTGGACCTAGGACTCAATCCCAGTCACTGTGATATGGGATATGGGTGTTCTAAGCAACATGTTACTACTCTGTCCAACACCCACCTATAAAATTTTTCTTTAAAAATCAGGATTTTAAAGAGGACCAACAACCCCAAAGTAACTACTGGATTCTGGAAACAGTCATGACAGCTGAAAGATAACCCATTATGGGAGAACTGCCAGATCATTCATTAACAAGTTTACTGAAGGTGCTTTGGAGAATACATAGAAACTCTGTCCTTGCTGAACTTACTATATAGGAAATAAGAAAAGACACAATTCAAGGAGCAGGCATTTGGCACAGTGGTTAAGATGCCACTTGTGGGGTTGATGCTGTCGCGTAGCGGGTAAAGCCACCGCTTGTAGTGCCAGCATCCCATATGGACATTGGTTCCAGTCCCAGCTTCTCCACTTCCGATCCAGCTCTCTGCTATGGCCTGAGAAAGCAGTAGAGGATGGCCAAAGTCCTTGGGACCCTGTACCCACGTGGAAGACCCAGAAGCAGCTCCTACCTCCTGGCTTCAGATCAGCCCAGCTCAGGCTCTTCCAGCCATTTGGAGAGCAAACCAGGAGATGGAAGATCTCTGTTTCTCTTTGCCTCTGCCTCTCTGTAACTCTGCCTTTCAAATAAATAAACTGATTTATTTATCCCCAAATCGTCTATTTTTATCATAATAAAAGGGAAAAGCCATAGAAAATCTTCAAGTTAGGAAGGCAGCTATGAAGTTCCTCTTCAGTTTCACAATATCCCATCTGGTGCTGTCAGACAGAACGATTCTCTCCCAATAACAATGGTGTATTCTTTACAATCAGAGTAGGTATCAGGGCCAAAAACAGAAGAAAGTCAAGCTGGCTGAATAATCAGAGACAGTCAAGAATTCCTAATCACACCAAAGGGTGTCCCAATCTGGATTCTACCAATTTTTTTTTTTTATATATTTATTTATTCGGAAGGCAGAGAGAGAGGTCTTCCATCCTCTTGTTTACTCCCCAAATGGCTGCAACAGCCAGAGCAAGGCTGATCCGAAGCCAGGAGCCAGGAGCTTGCTCCAGGTCTCTCACGCAGGTGCAGGGGCCCAAGGACTTGGGTCATCTTCCGCTGCTATCCCAGGCCATAGCAGAGAGCTGGATAGGAAGTAGAGCAGAAGGGACTAGAACTGGCGTCCATATGGGATGCCGGCACTGCAGGCGGAAGCTTTACCTGCTACATCACAACATCAGCCCCTGGATTCTGCCCATTTCTTACTTTACAGGAGCTATATCTAGCTTCACAAACTCTCTTCCAAGAGCTTAAAAAAAAAAAGCTCAAAACCATCATCCCAAAGTAAAGCCTAAAACAAATTTATTCAAAAGCATAACCTTTTTCTTTTTACAAAATAATGAAATCTCTGATGAGCAAACCATATAAAGTGTTCCTCAAGCTTATCACCATTACCTTGGAATGTTTTCAAAACAAATACAGCCTTAGTGGACTACCACTATGCATTCACTTCCAAGCTACTTATAATAATCTTAAATAGGACCATTTCAGTTAGCAAAACTGAAAGTAGCATAATTTACAATCTGTCCAGGAGGGAAAAAAAGGTCTTTTACTGCTAACATCTTCTTTGTTCTGTTCTTAAAATTCATTTCTCGAGGCATTACCACATTTTGTACATTCCAGATCCTCTGGGCATTGATTGGAGTTTTGTAAAAGGCTTGTGAAAATCTAAATTACTTATATTCATTTGCTTTCCTGTGACATTATTTTGCCACTTTGAACGCTCTACTGAAATATGATTTCCACTTTAATGCCATCCCCCACAAAAACATCTTTACACGTTTGATAATCTATTTCATTACTAGAGAACCTACCTACTGTAAGGGTGCAGAAAACTACATTTCATAGGAAAATGGGAAAGCTGTATTCATAGCAACAGTGTGACACAGAATGAAAGTGAGCAGCAGAGTTCTCAAGTTCAAATCCCAGCTCAGTGGCAAAGACCAACCTGAAGAAACAGGTATGTAGAAGACTCACGAAGCGAACACCACATAAGAAAAGTCATACTCACATTTCGATGAAACTGAGTGAAGGATTGGATCATGTAGAATCGATGCACATATACTATAGCGGTGTTGATGGTCAGTTGCGAGCTGAAGTGCTCCAGTGAAGGCAAAAACAAGCAGGATACTTCCAGAAAACATAACATCTGGCCCCTTCCAGAAAGACCAGAAGACCAAGCATGATAGATGCCCTTAAAGGAAAACCTACTTACCTCTCCAAATCAGAAAGCAGCCCATTCTCCTCCGCCAAATTATTAACTGCCAACTGGCACTGACCACAATGCCTTCCACATTTACTTACACAAGTACTCACTACAAATTCACCGAATTACTAAGTTTCTCGGGCTGTGTGGCTCAATATGGCTTATAAACAAAACTATGTAATGAGCTCTTAAATGCTTTCACTCACCTTCTGAACACCCTGCAAAGATGATGCATTAGCTCGGGGTATCTCTTTAATCATCATTTACAAGGTCCTCCCTGATGCAGCCATAGCCCTGGGGAATATGTCACCACTATCTCCCTCAGCTTCTACACCCCAGCAATTAAGTTTACAGTTCCACCTCTCTCTGGTCACAGAGCAACCCCTGGGACTACCATTTTTCAAAAGGCCTGATATTCATTCGCTGAAAATAAAACTGTTTTCATGTCTTACATCTTAAGGCCGTCCCAAACAACATGAGATACAGAAATGTCACTTAGCAACAAGGTGAATAACACACATATAAAAAGTTTCAAGGATACACTGAAAACCGGATCTCAGACAACATGATTTAGCTCTGTACAGATCAGATGCTTAGGAAACAAATTTGATACGGAAAACAGGCTGGCAACAGAGGGCAACCCCTGCATTTCAGACTGGGCGCACCCCCACAAACACGACCAATTACATGGAAGCTGCACTTCAGAAAAAAGTTTTCAGCCCACGACAGAAGCAGCTTGAAAACGACATTCTTCCCTCCGACGCAAAACAAACGTCTTCCGACAAGCAAATACATTCGGGCGGAAAAACAAAGCACGGAATTCGCTCAATTTTGAATTACGAAAGGAACGAATACACACTCAAACTCGGCGTAGCGTTAAGCACCCAGAATCTCGCAAACGGTGGGAAACATGAGATCCACAGCTCTACGCATCCCCTACACACCTAATCTGCCATCTTTTCCTTCCTCAGAACTTCTAACAGCGCCCCCTTCGACGTCTGGCCCCCAAGCACCGTGGTGGACACGGAACCGAGGCGGGCCAGGACGGAGGAAGCCTCTGACCAAGTTAAATCAGCACGCGGGAGTCACAGATTCGGAACCACTGCTTGGACACGAATTCTAAGCCACCTGTGCAAGGCTTTCGGGTACTGAATCGCTAACACGCCGAGTTTAAGGGGGACAGGCGTCAACAGTGAACCCTCCACCAGACCCCGAGGGCGTAAGGGAAAGAACAAGCTCAAAGGCAGCCGGCAGACCACGAGAACCGGTGGAAACACAAAGCCGGGAAGGGCCTGCATTCCCGGCAAGGGTGAGCAAGCGGGAAACGAACTCCGCCTCGCTGCCCTGGCGCCAACCCCGACTTTCAACCCGCCCCGCGGCGCGCTCGCTCACCTAGCGCTCCGGCTCCTGCCCACCTCCCGTCCCCGCCCCGAGCCCGGCCGGCACCGACTCCCAGGCCCGAAGGCCTAGGCCGCAAGGATACACGAAAAGACGTTGACCCATGTCCTGAAGCAGATTGGCCGCCTGCTGGCGATAAGAAAGTTCCTTATCGGGGTCCAGGCCACACCGGCGGGATGGGCTGTTCTCCAGCTGTTCTCGAGTAAAATACCACCGCTTGTTGCTGTTCTTCCTCTCTCCCTCCATAGTGCTACAACCAGAAGGCAGCAGCAGAGGCTGCGAGCACTTCCCAGCGTCACCTACGCGGCGACACACATCCGCCGTGCGGGGGCAACTGCGACGTGACGAGTTTCCGCTAGGATTCGACGGCCGGCTTTGTGACACGCTTCCGCCGACGAAGCGGAAGTCTGAGCGCCCACTTCCGGAATGGCCCTCGCGACGCTCCGTAGCCGGCTGTGCAGCTTGCGTACCGCCAGGAAAGACCTTGAAGAGAGGGCGCAGGCGCCGGTCACGTGACCCCACCCCCACCCCACGCGCCGAGTAGGGCGGAGTCATACGTTTACGTTTAAAAACCGCGTCTCTTCCCGCGAGAACTGAGCTCGCGATGGTTGTTTGCGGGGGGGAGGGGGGTGCTGCGAGGCAGTTCCTGGGACTATTATGGTGGCGGCTCACGGCCACGTGCCGCTTGGTGGGTCCTACGAGAACTTTGCTCCTGGCTGAAGTGGCGACGTAAAATGGGACGGTGGCAGAGCTTTGTAGAATAGGTGAGAAGCGAAGAGCGTAGCCGCTATCGTACCGCGGAGATGTAAAGCCAGCAGAGGCGGGCTTTTTTTTTTTTTTTGACAGGCAGAGTGGATAGTGAGACAGAGAGACAGAGAGAAAGGTCTTCCTTTGCTGTTGGTTTACCCTCCAATGGCCGGCGCACCGCGCTGATCCGATGGCAGGAGCCAGGTACTTCTGGTCTCCCATGGGGTGCAGGGCCCAAGCACTTGGGCCATCCTCCACTGCACTCCCGGGCCACAGCAGAGAGCTGGCCTGGAAGAGGAGTAACAGGGACAGAATCCAGCACCCTGACCAGGACTAGAACCCGGGGTGCCGGCGCCGCAAGGCGGAGGATTAGCCTAGTGAGCCGCGGCCGGCCTGAGGCGGGCTTTTTTTAATATTGCTGGTGGGTGCCGAGCACTGCCACTCGTTTGAACATCCCCCTCCTAATAAGTAGCCCAAACCCGTGAGAACAGGAGCAGTGGTGCCCCGGGAAGGTGTAGCGTGAAGTTAGCAGCACTCACTCAGTGCTTGCAGGTCCCGAGCACGATGCTGACGTCTCCGTGTACCGTATGCCTTCGTCATCGTCATTCTTAGTAATATTTAATTCCCGTGTGCAGAAGAAGGTTTCAAGCGGCACCCCTCGAGGCGGGAGGCTCCCACCACCACCCGCCATGGGCGCAAACTTGGGCCTTCCTGTCTCGTGGTGAAGTGGCTCCGACGTCTTGATGCTGGGCAAGATGCCTCATTTCTGACTCTTAAAATATGCAATTGTTAGTACCTACGTTTTAAGTATCAGGTTGTGAACGGCAGTAAATGAGAATTTTTTTTTTTTTTTTTTGACAGGCAGAGTGGACAGTGAGAGAGAGAGAGAGAAAGGTCTTCCTTTGCCGTTGGTTCACCCTCCAATGGCCGCCACGGCCGGCGCACCGCGCTGATCCGATGGCAGGAGCCAGGAGCCAGGTGCTTTTCCTGGTCTCCCATGGGGTGCAGGGCCCAAGCACTTGGGCCATCCTCCACTGCACTCCCTGGGCACCTCAGAGAGCTGGCCTGGAAGAGGGGCAACCAGGACAGAATCCGGCTCCCCGACCGGGACTAGAACCCGGTGTGCTGGTGCCGCAAGGCGGAGGATTAGCCTAGTGAGCCGCGGCGCCGGCCAGTAAATGAGAATTTAAGTTTGCACTCGTACTTGAAATGGTCTGTAGGTCTCATTACGTTGCATAGTAGGCGAGAGCAAATGCAGGGACAGTGCTTTCATTTCTGTCCCTCCGGCTCCTGAGTAGTACAGCCCTGGCCCTTAGAAGATACTCAGACCATCAGCAAATAAACGTCCGTGACACCCTGGAGTATACAAACAAGCTGGTGGAATATCAAGGAGCTTGCCTTACATTATACTGCTAATACTTGTAGACTTTTTTTTAAAGATTTATTTACTTATTTATTTATTTGAAAGGTGGTGATAGAGAGGAAGCTGCATCAGAGGCTAAGCAACCAGAATGTCAGTGGCTGGTGCTGAGATGTAGAGGGTAAAACTGCCGCCTGCAGTGCCAACATCCCATATGGGCGCTGGTTCGAATCCCGGCTCCTCCACCACTTCCGATCCAGCTCTCTGCTATGGCCTGTGAAAGCAGTAGAAGTTGGCCCAAGTCCTTGGGTCCCTGCACCCGTGTGGGAGACATGGAGGAAGCTCCTGGCTCCTGGCTTCGGATCAGCTCAGCTCCATCTGTTGTGGCAATTTGGGGAATGAACCCATGGATGGAAGACTTTTCTCTCTCTGCCTCTCTGTAACTCTGCCTTTCAAATAAATAAATCTTTAAAAAAAAAAAAAAAAAAAAAAAACCAGCCTCAAGCAGCAGCTAACCTGCCATACCAAAATGCCAGCCCCTAAGTGTAGCTTTTTTTTTTTTTTTTAATTTATTTTATTTGAAAGGCAAAGTTACAGAGAGGTAGAGCCGAGGAGGGGGTCTCCATCCTCTGGCTCATTCCCCAAATGACATTAATGACCAGAGCTGAGGTCTCCCATGTGGGTGCAGGGACCCAAGGACTTGAGCCATCTTCCACTGCTTTCCCAGGCCACAGCAGAGAGCTGGATCAGAAGCAGAGCATCCAGGACTTGAATCGGCACCTTTATGGGATGTCGGCACTGCAGGCTGGGGCTTTAACCCACTGCACCACAGCAGCGGTCCTCTAAGTGTAGATCTTAAAAACAAATTATTCTTTGCATTCTGACAAGCTGCCTTCCTGCTTTTCTGGACCCATACTCAATTTACCTTAAGTTTGCACAGCTTTAGATAAAATTTTAGAATAGAATCCTTTGTTTTGCTTTTATATTTTGGGTTTCATCATTTCTAACATTTGATTCTAATTCATTCTCAGAAGTGTTTCGTTCCATTTGAGGCCCTGCTCTGCTGTATACTGCCCATAATAATTCACTTCAGGTTATAAGCTAAAAGAGCATTTGATTTTAAACTTCTTCTATCACAGACTTTTTTCTTTTAATAGACTAAGCATTTTTTCAGTCATGGAGTCATGTATTGTTTCTTAAACAGCCAAAACTATTTCCCCAGGATTCTTCTTGCCTATTTCTTTGACCTGTGTTTGATTCTCCACTTAACCTCTTGGATTAATGACTCCGTATTGAATTTGCCATTTCTACTGAGCATGCCATTCTTCCAGGAAAAAGTTCTGGTACCTGTCAGGCTCCAGGCAATGCAGCTGCTGCCCATGGCTTGCTACCCTCCCATACAGGACAGGGAGCCTGTCAAAGAAAAGACATATTCTTTTGTCTCAAGATGTAATTATTTCAAGTAGGAAACAATGATAACATAATGCTAAATATGAGTTTGTGAGACAGGCCTGTATTCACATCCCAACTATTCTTCCCACTCTCCCGCACTCCCCGCCCGCCAACCATCTTAACAATTTTAATTGTGCAATTTAGTGGCATCAACTTTATTCACATTGTTGTACAGCAGACCTCAAGAACGTTTTCATCATGCACTACTGAAACTGTACACATTGAACAACTCCCATTTTCCCTTCTAGCCCCTGGCAGCCATCATTCTACTTCCTGTTTCTGTGGTGCTGACAACTTCAGATGCCTCAGATACGTGTATATAGAGTATTTGTCGCCCGTGATTGGCTTATTTCATTTAGTATAAAGTCCTCAAAGATGCCAGCTTTTCTTTTGGTGTGATGTTGAATGATATCTCTGCATTCTGATAGAATACCATCCAGCACATATTAGGTATTCAATGCAAGTTATGTTGTAAACATAACATTAGCCTTCAGATACAGTGCCCTTAAAGAACCACTGACAAATCTTAAGTCACAGGAATTTTCCTTTTTTAAAAAAAATGTCAGTAGGATACAGGCATTGTGGTACAGTGAGTTAAGCTGCCCACGTGCATATTGGAATGTCTGTTCCAGTCATGGCTCCTCTCCTTCCAATCCAGCTTCCTGCTCATGCACCTGAGAAAGCCATAGATGATGGCCCAAGTACTTGGGTCCCTGCCTCCCAGGAGACCCAGATGGTGATCCTGGGTCTTGACTTTAGCCAGGCCCCGTCCTGGTTGTTGCAGGCATTGGGGAATGAACTAGCAGGTAGGAGATCTGTGTGTGTCTGTCTCTCCCTCCTTTACCTCTCCCTCTCTCCCTGTCACTCTCATCTTATTTTGCACTATGCATATGTCATCTTTTAATCATGTCAAACATTACCATTTCTACTCAACATTCATATAGTCTCCATTTAAAATATGAAAGGATGGGGCTATTGGCAACATTCCTCAATTCCATGATAGTTTAAAATCAACAGCACTGTGGTGGGGCCAGCATTGTTGCACAGTGAGTAAAGCCGCTGCCTGTGATGCTGGTATTCCATATGGACACCATTTAAAGTCTCATCTGCTCTGCTTCCAATCCAGCTCCCTGCTAATGTGCCTGGGAAAGCAGCAGAAGATGGCCCAAGTGCTTAGGCCCTTGCATCTATGTGGGAGACCTGGACAGTGTTCTAGATTGCTGGCTTCAGCCTGGCCTAGCCCTGGCTGTTGTAGCCATTTAAGGAATTAAACCAATGGATGAAGATCTTTCTTGTGCTCTCTCCCCTTCCCTCTCTGTAACTCTGCCTTTCAAATAAGTAAATCTTTAAAATCAGCTATGGTATTTGTATGTGTTGGTAACTTATTAATTGTCCATTAAAAATTATATATATATATGCATCTACGTTCATTTTAAAATCTAATATAAAGGATGTGTAGACCACAATTTATAAAACATAAAATTTATAATCTTTTATCATAAATTTCCAGTAGCGAGCTAATTTCTTGCAAAATGCTTTGAGGCTTGCCAATTTTTTTTTTTTTTTTTTCATTTTCTTTGAGAGGCATAGAGACAGACAGTTTCATCACTGGGCAATTCCTCAAATGCACACAATGACTGGGGCTGAGTAGGGACCAAAGCTAGGAATCGGGATTGCAAACTAGGACTCCCATGTTAGTGGCAGAGACCCAGTTGCTTAAGCTATCACTGCTGCCACCCAAGGTCTTCATTACCAGGAAGCTGGAATTAGGAGCTAGAGCCAGGTATTGAGCTCAGGTACTTCAGTGTGGGACACAGGCATTTTAACCACTGGGCCAAATGCACACACCAAGTTTTGTTAGATTCCTGAGTTAACTGTGGTTATATTTGACAATAGAGTACAGTGGATTTTTTTTTTAAGATTTACTTATTTATTTGAAACAGTTACAAAGAGAGATAAATCTTTCATCCACTGGTTCACTCCTCAGATGGCTGCAATGTGTCCCTGCAATGGCTGAAGCTGGGCCAGGCCAAGTCCAGGAGCTTCATCTAGGTCTCCCACATGGGTGGCAGGGCCCAAGCACTTGGGCATCTTTGCTGCTTTGACCAGGCCTTCAGCAGGGAGCTGGATCAGAAGTAGAGCAACAAGACACAAACTGGCACCCATATGGAATGCTGGCATCTCAGGTGGCAGCTTCACCAGCAGAAACCGAGACCTCCCATCTGCTGGTTCACTCCCGAAATACTTATTAACAGCTGGGGTTCTGAAAACAGGAGCCAAGAACACAGTCCAAGTCTCCCATGTGGGTGCAGGAACCCAGTCACTTGAACCATCACTGCTGCCTCTCACAGTCTGCATCAGCAGGAAGCTGGAGTCAGGAGAGAGAGCAGGGTATTGAACCCAAGTACTCCAATATGGGATATATACCTCTTAACCAGTGTCTTAACTGCCAGGCTGCATGCCCACCTCTCCTGATACACTTTTTTTTTTTAAAGATTTATTTATTTCACTTGAAAGTCACAGAAAAGGAGAGGCAGAGAGAGAGAGAAAGAGAGATCTTCCATCCGCTGGTTCACTCCCCAGATGCCCGCAACAGCCAGAGCTGCGCCAATCAGGAGCCAGGAGCTTCTTCGTGGGTCTCCCATGCAGGTGCAGGGGTCCAAGGACTTGGGCCATCTTCTACTGCTTTCCCAGGCCATAGCAAAGAGCTGGATCAGAAATGGAGCAGCCAGGACTCGAACCGGCACCCACAGGGAAGCCAGCACTGCAGGCCACGACTTTAACCACTGCACCACAGCACTGGCCCCATCACTTTTTTGTAAGGCTTTATTTTTAATTTGAAAGAGTGATAGAGCTAGAGACAGAGGGAGAGATCTTCCATCTTGCTGGTTTACTTCCCAAATGGCTGTGAAGGCCCCAGACAAAGCCAGGAGCCCGGAACTCCATCCAGGTATCCCACATGGTAACAGATCCCAAGTAGGTGGCCCATCTTCTGCTTCCCAGGCGCATTAGCAAGGAGCTGGGTTGGAAGCGGAGCAGCCAGGACTCAAACTGACACTCCAACATAGGATGCCTGTGTTGCAAACAACAGCTTAACCCACTGTGCCACAAGGTGGGCCCCCATCACTTTCTTAAATTGAGACAATCAACAAAAGAATTAAGTCAGGCTTGCTTTGTAACCTTTGTCAACTTCTGTGGGGTAAAGTCTGCCCCTATAGCTGATTTCAGGCTACCTGTATGATGTCACTGATCATTAAGTTGGGATGAGATGCACACACCATCACATAGTATTTCCTCCTGACAGATGCAAGAACAGATGGGTAATGTAAGCAGAGAGATAAAAACATAAAGAATAAACGACACTGTAGGACCGGCATTGTGGTGTAGTTGGTAAAGCCACTGCCTGCATTGCCAGCATCCCATATGGGCACCAGTTTGTGTCCCAGCTGCTCTACTTCTCATCCAGCTCCCTGCTAATGGCCTGGGAAAAGCAGCAGAAGATGCCTCAAGTGTTTGGGCTTCTTCCATCCACATGGGAAACCCAGATGAAGCTCCTGGCTGCTGGCTTTGGCCTGGCTCAATGCTGGCCATTGTGGCCATCTAGGGAGTGAACCAGCAGATGAAAGATTTCTCCCTCTCTCCCTGTTTCTCCCTCTCTATAACTCTTAAAAATAAATAAATAAGTCTTTAAAACAAAACACTGTAACATAAGTAAATGCCACTGGTGGGCTCATCAGTAGACGGTATGAAAACAGGTCCTAGAAACTTCCCAAACTGAAAAGCAAACAGAAAAAAGATTTTTAAAAAATCCAGATACACTAGCAGTAGACCCATAAGCATAGATAACAGTGAAATAAGGTAAAATAATTAGGAAGAGATGAACTTATTTAACTTTTTATTTCAAATAACTTTAAATTTGAAAAATAAAAATTGCAGAATTATATACAGTTCTCATATACCCCACATCCAGAGTCCCCTATTATTAACATATTACTCATAATTGGTGAACCATGCCGACTTCCTCTGCTTTTTCTCCAGACTCCCTCTTATCCATCTTACCCCTCTCAGCCTCTAAAAATCAAATTTTGTGTCCAGAATTGAGGCTGTTTTTTAGCTCCCACATATGAGGAAGAACATGAGGTATTTGTCTTTTTGTGTCTGACTTATTTCATTTAACTTGATATCTTCTAGTTCTATTCATATTGCTGCCAATGACAAGGAGTTTATTTTTTATGACTGAATAGTATTCTATAAGGTGAGTTTTTAGTATTTACTACTTTTACTCTTTTTTTTTTTAAGATTTAACGTTTATTGGAAAAGCAGAGCAAGAGAGAGAGAGGAAGAGACAGACCTTCCATCCACTTGTTGATTCCCTAAGTGACTGCAGCAGCAAAGTTTGGGCCAGCTCAAGAAGGAGCCAGGAATTCCATAATGGTCTCCTACATGAGTGGCAGGGGCCCAAGTATCTGGGCCATCCTCTGCTGTCTTCTCAGGCATGTTAGTAGGAAGCTGGATGGGACTAGAGAAGCTGGGACTAGAACTAGCGCTCCGGTAGAGAATACTGGTGTCACAAATAGCAGCTTAACACGTTGCATCACAATACCAGTCCCCTAATGGGAAAAGTAGACAACTAGCAAGAATATGTGGGTGATATAAGCAGAGATGAAATCTCTGAGAATCAAGCCGGCGCCGTGGCTCAACAGGCTAATCCTCCGCCTAGCGGCGCTGGCACTCCGAGTTCTAGTCCCGGTCGGGGTGCCGGATTCTGTCCCGGTTGCCCCTCTTCCAGGCCAGCTCTCTGCTGTGGCCAGGGAGTGCAGTGGAGGATGGCCCAAGTGCTTGGGCCCTGCACCCCATGGGAGACCAGGATAAGTACCTGGCTCCTGCCATCGGATCAGCGCGGTGCGCTGGCCGCGGCAGCCATTGGAGGGTGAACCAATGGCAAAGGAAGACCTTTCTCTCTGTCTCTCTCTCTCTCACTGTCCACTCTGCCTGTCAAAAAAAAAAAAAAAAAAAATCTCTGAGAATCAAAGGAGGTGCCAATTCTGTGGTGTAGAGGGTAAAGCTGCTGCCTGAGTGGTCATATGAGAGCTGGTTCAAGTCTCAGCTGCTCCACTTCCAATCCAGCTCTCTACTATGGCCTGGAAAAACAGTAGAAGATGGACCAAGTCCTTGGGCCCTGCAGCCAAGTGGGAGACCCAGAAGAAGCTCCTGGTTTCTGGCTTCAGATCAGTGCAGCTCCAGCCATTGCAGCCATCTGAGGAGTAAACCAACAGATGGAAGACCTTTCTCTCTCTCTCTGCCTCTGCCTCTGCCTCTCTATAACTCTGCCTTTCAAATAAATAATAAATAAATCTTAAAAGATTCAAAGGAAGTGCTCAAAGAAAGAAACACTGTAACATCAATAAAAAAATGCCACTGATAAGCTTATCAGTAGATGATATGACAAAGAAAGAATCAGTGAGTTTGAAAAAGTTTGAAAATAGGTCCTGGGGCCAATCAGGGAGAACATATGATATTTGTCCCTTTGGGACTGGCTTAATTCACTCAGCATGATGTTTTCCAAATTCCTCCATCTTGTTGCAAATGACTGGGTTTCGTTGTTTTTGACTGCTATATAGTATTCTATAGAGTACATGTCCCATAATTTCTTTATCCAGTCTACTGTTGATGGGCATTTGGGTAGATTCCAGGTCTTAGCTATTATGAATTGAGCTGCAATAAACATTAATGTGCAGACTGCTTTTTTGTTTGCCAATTTAATTTCCTTTGGGTAAATTCCAAGGAGTGGGATGGCTGGGTTGAATGGTAGGGTGATATTCAGGTTTCTGAGGAATCTCCAGACTGACTTCCATAGTGGCTTAACCAGTTTGCATTCCCACCAACAGTGTGTTAGTGTCCCTTTTTCCCCACATCCTCTCCAGCATCTATTGTTGGTAGATTTCTGAATGTGAGCCATTCTAACTGGTGTGAGGTGGAACCTCATTGTGGTTTTGATTTGCATTTCCCTGATTGCTAGTGATCTTGAACATTTTTTCATGTGCCTGTTGGCCATTTGGATTTCCTTTTTTGAAAAATGTCTATTGAGGTCCTTGGCCCATCTCTTAAGTGGGTTGTTTGTTTTGATGTTGTGGAGTTTCTTGATTTCTTTGTAGATTCTGGTTAGCAACCCTTTATCAGTTGCATAGTTTGCAAATATATTTTCCCATTCTGTCAGTTGTCTCTTCACTTTCCTGACTGTTTCTTTTGCAGTACAGAAACTTCTCAATTTGATGCAATCCCAAATGTTAATTTTGGCTTTGACTGCCTGTGCTTCTGGGGTGTTTTCCAAGAATTCATTGCCGGTACCTATATCTTTCAGGGTTTTTCCAATGCTCTCTAATAATCTGATGGTGTCAGGTCGTAGATTTAAGTCTTTAATCCATGTTGAGTGAATTTTTGTGTAAGGTGAAAGGTAGGGGTCTTGCTTCATGATTCTGCACGTGGAAATCCAATTTTCCCAGCACCATTTATTGAATAGACTGTCCTTACTCCAGGGATTGGTTTTGGACCCTTGATCAAATATGAGTTGGCTGTAGATGTTTGGATTGATTTCTGGTGTTTCAATTCTGTTCCATTGGTCTATCCATCTGTTTCTGTACCAGTACCATGCTGTTTTGATTACAACTGCCCTGTAGTATGTCCTGAAATCTGGTATTGTGATGCCTCCGGCTTTGTTTTTGTTGTACAAGATTGCTTTAGATATTCGAGGTCTCCTGTGTCTCCATATAAATTTCAGCATCATTTTTTCTAGATCTGAGAAGAAGGTCTTCGGTATCTTGATTGGTATTGCATTGAATCTAGAAATTGCTTTTGGGAGAATGGACATTTTGATGATATTGATTCTTCCAATCCATGAGCATGGAAGATTTTTCCATTTCTTGGTATCCTCTTCTATTTCTTTCTTTAAGGTTTTGTAATTCTCATTGTAGAGATCTTTAACATCCTTGGTTAAGTTTATTCCAAGGTATCCGGGGCTCACTTGGTTAATCCTCCACCTGCGGCTCCGGCATTCCTTATGGGTGCCGGTTCTAGTCCCGGCTTCTCCTCTTCCAGTCCAGCTCTCTGCTGTGGCCTGGGAAGGCAGTGAAGGATGGCCCAAGTGCTTGGGCCCTTGCACCCACATGGGAGACCAGGAAGAAGCACCTGGCTCCTGGCTTCAGATCTGCGCAATTACGGCTGTAGCAGCCATTTTGGGGGTGAACCAACAGAAGGAAGACCTTTCTCTCTGTCTATAACTCTGCCTGTCAAATAAATTAAAAAAAAAAATAGGTCCTGAGGCTGACACTGTGGCACAGTGGGTTAAGGCCCTGCCCTCAGCGCCAGCATCCCAAATAGGCACTGGTTTGAGTCCTGCCTGCTCCACTTGCAATCCAGCTCCCTGCTAAATGTGCCTGGGAAAGCAGCGGACAATAACCCAGGTCCTTGGGCCCCTGCACCCATGTGGGAGACCCAGAAGGAGCTCCTGGATCCTGGCTTCGGCTCAGTACAGCTCTGGCCATTGAGGCCATCTGGGGAGTGAACCAGCGGATGAAAGACCTCTCTCTCTCTGTTTCTACCTCTCTCTGTGACTCTATCTTTCAAATAAGTAAAATAAATAAATAAATAAATCTTAAAGAAAATAAAGAGAGAAAGAAAATAGGTTCTGGGAGTTTCCCAAACTGAAAAGTAAAGAGAAAACGGACTTTAAGAAAGCAAAGACGTGGGGCCAGCAGGTAGCAGGGGCCCAAAAGCTAGGCCATCTTCCACTGCCTCCCCAGTCACATTAGCAGGGAGCTGGATTGGAAATGAAGGCTCTGGAACTCAAACCAATGCTCCAGTGTGGGATGCTGGAGTCACAAGCAGTGGCTCAACCCATTGCACCACAATGCTGGCTCCTAAATTGTTTTAAATCTTTGTGTATTTGACACAGAGAAAGCTCCCAACCACTGGTTTACAACCCCCATGCCTGCAACAACCCTTGACTGGGACCTAACTCACTCCACATCATCCAGGTAGGTGTTGGTAACTTCACCACTTGAGCTATCACTGCTGCCTCCTAAGGTCTGCATTAGCAGAAAGCTGGAGGCCTGTAACAGAACCAGGTGTCAAACCCAGGCACTCTGGTGTGAGATGTGGGCATTCCACCTGGCATCTTAACTGCTAGACCAAAGGCCCACCCTCATACGCAAATCAAAATATTGCCTCTTAAGGTTCTGTTAGGTGCTAAATAGTACGATAAGGAAATTTGCATGTATTAGCTAATTTCATTCTTAAAATTATGAGATAGATTTTGTCATAATTTGACATTTCTTTTAAATTAGAAACATAAGCTTAGTTAATCTATTCAAACTCAAACCTAAAATATGACAAAACTAAGATTTGCACCCATATCAATGCTCTCTTTACTGCCTTCTGAAACAATATAAGACTGTTGTGGCAAAGCAGGCTAAGCCACCTCCTGTAATGCTGGCATCTCATATGAGTGCAGTTTCCAGTCCTGGCTGTTCCACTGCCGATCTAGCTCTCTGCTAATGTACCTAACAAAGCAGTGGAAGTTGGCCCGAGTGCTTGGGCCCTGCACCAACATGGCAGACCAGGATGGAGTTCCGGGCTCCTGACTTCAGTCTGGTCTAGCTGTTGAGGCATTCGGGGGAGTGAACCAGTGGATCTCTCCCTCACCCTCTGCATCTCTGACTTTCAAATAAGTAAATAAATCTTGGAAAAAGAAAAAAAGACTGAGTCAAGAAAAAGGTGTACTGACAATTCCTTCATTGTTTTGAGATTGTACAGCTCTCCCTCATTCCAACTCCACTGTGAACCCAAAAATCCTGTCCCTCATTAGACAAAGGGAGTGTCAGTCATGGAAATTCTTTGTGACGTTACCGTGGTTACCAAACACAGACTCCCCAGTGCTCCAGTGGAGACATTCTAGAAGAGCACAGGGAGGAGCTGAGATGGCCTTCTTCAACTTATACCTAATGGGATATCAAAATGCCTTTCGGAACAAAAAGAGGGACACAACTGAAGAGACAAGTAAGGGGAATATCGCACAGAGGTCTGGGAGAGCCATTTCCTTGCCACTCCCTAGCCATTTCTTTTCCCACCTTGGTTAGAGATATCATCCAAGCCCAATATGGTGTAACCACAGAATCCATTCAGCTTCACTTCCCTGTTATTTAATATCCTTTTTTTTTTCTTTTGGATTTTATTTATTATTTTGAAAGTCATTGAGTTCCAGAGAGAGGGAGAGATCAAGAGATTGATTGATCTTCCATCCTCTGGTTCACTCTCCAAATGGCCACAATGGCCAGGGCTGGGCCAGGCAAAAGCCAGGAGCCAGTAGCTTCATCTGGGTCTCCCAAATGGATGCAGGGGCCCAAGGATGTGGGCCATCATCCCCTGCTTTCCCAGGAGCATTAGCAGGGAGCTAGATCAGAAGTGGAGCAGCTGGGCCGGCGGCAGTGCGCCAGCTGCGGCGGCCATTGGAGGGTGAACCAACGGCAAAAGGAAGACCTTTCTCTCTCTCTCTCTCTCTCTCTCTCTGTCCACTCTGCCTGTCAAAAAAAAAAAAAAAAAAAAAAAGGAAGTGGAGCAGCCGGGACAAGAACCAGCACCCATATGGGTTGCAAGTGTCACAGAGCCAGCTTTACCTGCTACACAACGCCGGCCTCTATCATTTTTTTTTTTAAGATTTATTTATCTACATGAAAGTCAGAGTTAGAGAGAGAGACAGAGAGATCTTTCATCCAGTGGCTCACTCCCCAAATGGCCACGTCATTCAGAGCTAGGCCAGACTGAACCATGAGCTTAATCCAGGTCTCCCATGTGGGTGCATGGGCCCAAAGTACTTGGGCAATCTTCCACTGCTTTCTCAGGTATATTAGCAGGGAGCTGGATTGGAAATGGAGCTACCAGGACAAGCTGGCACCCAGATGGGATGCCAGCATCATATGTGATGGCTTAACCTGCTATGCCACATCACTAGTCCCTTTATATCCTTATTAAGGTCACAATTTATTCAGCCAAATAAATGTATTCTTATTCATTGATTTGCTCATCAGCCAACATTTATTTAGCACCAGCTATGTGCCAGGCTTTATGCTGGTGACTGGAGATAGAATAAGGTCTATGTTAAAAGGCAGCTGACTATATGAAGAGGAAGATGAATATGGAAACAAAATAATTGCAATATAGTATATGACTAAGTTAAATATGGAATGTTACGGAACTACAAAGGATGAAGTACGTAATACTATTGGATTTGGGATAAGAATGGGGAGATCCTTCAGAAAGTTCCCATACAGGAAGTGCTTCCAGAAGTGAGTGTTAAAGAGTGATTAGGCTTCACTTAATGAACATGAAAGGGATATAGCACAGATAAGAAACAGAGACCCAAGAGAGAGTGTAGCCATCTAGGGAGTGAACCAGTGGATGGAAGACCTCTCTCTCTCTCTCTCTCTCTCTCTCTGCCTCTCCTTCTCTCTCTATGTCTCTGACTTTCAAATAAATAAATCTTTTTTTAATTTTTTTATTTTTTGACAGGCAGAGTGGACAGAGAGAGACAGAGAGAAAGGTCTTCCTTTGCCGTTGGTTCACCTTCCAATGGCCGCCGTGGCCTGCGCGCTGCGGCCGGTGCACTGCGCTGATCTGATGGCAGGAGCCAGGTGCTTTTCCTGGTCTCCCATGGGGTGCAGGGCCCAAGCACCTGGGCCATCCTCCACTGCACTCCCTGGCCACAGCAGAGAGCTGGCCTGGAAGAGGGGCAACCGGGACAGAATCCGGCGCCCCGACCGGGACTAGAACCCGGTGTGCCGGCGCCGCTAGGCGGAGGATTAGCCTAGTGAGCCGCGGCGCCGGCCCAAATAAATAAATCTTTAAAAAAATTCACAATGCCTAGCCTTCCCCCATAATATTATTTGTTGAGTAAATGAATGAATCAATGATTTTGAATGACTATAAAGCAGGAAGTTGGGGGGGGGGGCTTTGCAGAAGATATGACGATAAATCTAGGAAAAGTGAAGGAACTTAAAGATAGGTGGAAACTGAAGCAAATTGTACTCAGGTGGGGAAGAAGTGACTGCTAAAGTATAAAAGCACAAAGTCAATATAGTGGAGGAAGATTCACTTTATAAAAAATGGAAGCCTTGGAGTAGGTATTTAGTATGGTGGTTAAGTCCCATACACATCACATCCTGGAGTGTCTGTGTTCAAATCTTGGCTCCTCTGCTTCTGATCCAGCTTCCTGCTAATGCACACCAGGAAGCAGCAGTGACCATTCAAGTACTTAGGTCTCTTGCAACCCACACAGGAGACCCAGATTGAGTTCCAGGCTCCTGGCTTCAGCCTAGATCAGCTCCAGCTATTGCAGGCATTTGGGGAGTAAACCAGCAGATAGAAAACCTGTCTCTGTCTCTCTGCCTTTCAAATACATAAATAAAATTATTTTAAATTAGTATCCTGATGTCATCTGCTTACCCACTTTCTTAGTCTGGTAGCAGAGCCTCGGAGGCAGAAGGCCAAAGTAAGGTTAAGAGAAAGACTGGACAATAAATTTGCTACCCATATTCTTTGCTCTCTTCCCACCACTCCCAGCTTCATACCCTCTTAAGACAGAGGATAATTTCTAATTAATCCATACTTTTTTGCCTCAAGCACTTAGTCAACTATTTATCATTATGTGCAGTGTGCCAGGCATTTATTAGGCATTCTACATGCTTAATTTAACCTTCTTAACATTCCTGTAAGGAACTACAATCCCCCCCCCTTTTTTTAAAGATTTATGTATTTACTTCAAAGAGTTACACAGAGAAAGAAGGAGAGGCAGAGAGAGAGAGAGAGAGAGAGAGAGAGAGAGAGAGAGAGAGGTCTTCTATCCGCTGCCTCACTCCCCAAATGGCCGCAATGGCGAGAGCTGCACTGATCCAAAGCCAGGAGCCAGGAGCATCTTCTGGGTCTCCCACATGTATACAGGGGCCCAAGGACTTGGGCCATCTTCTGCTGCTTTCCCAGGCCATAGCAGAGAGCTGGATTGGAAATGGAGCAGCCGGGTCTCAAACCGGCACCCACATGGGATGCCAGCACTGCAGGCAGTGGCTTAACCTGCTACGCCCCAGCGCAGGCTCCCCAAATTGTCTTAACATCTCCACCTGTGGTCTTAAATACTTTGTTACTTATAGAGTTCTATTACACAAGTCTTTTCCTGTGAACAGGCCACTGTACAAATGATTGATGATCAGCGTTCCTAGGAAAAATCTATTAACCCCAAAATCCAGAGTTCAAATGTCAGATGGACTTTCTTATAGCTATTTGCTGTTCCCTAACAAGTGGTCTCAAGATTGCCAAGAGTCCACCATTCACTGTAGCTGAATGGTAACTTTGCCACACTAATGGTCAAACTTGTTGAGTTGAGACCTCCTATATAAAGTCAAAACCTTGCAGGCTCCCCACATAGCCCCTATGCAGCTTAACAACTTTTGGATAGCATTCTGCAAGCTACTGGAAGGGAAAGAATAATTGGATGAGTTTTTTCTGATCTCTCATTCTCTCATATACACATCAGAGAATCATCTGCTTGTGATCCAACTCTATATGCAGAAACCAAAGCAATAATTCGATTCATTTTCTGTGCTTAAACTTTACTGGAATTATTGGTGAAGACTCAGTGCTAGGAGTTCATCTGCACATATCCTTATTCCTCCAAAGAAAATTCAGGAGTTTTACTTCTGGGATAAGAATTTAGTGAAATAGCTGGCACTGTGGCATAGTGGACTAAGCCTCTGCCTGCAGGGCCAGCATCCCATATGGGCACCGGTTCTAGTCCTGGTTTCTCTTCTTCCGACCCAGCTCTTTGGTATGGTCTGGGAAAGCAATGGAAGATGGCCCAAGTGGGAGACTGGGAAGAAGCTCCTGGCTCCTGGCTTCGAATCAGCCCAGCTCTTGTCATTGCACCATTTGGGGAGTGAACCAGTGGATGGAAGACCTTTCTCTCTGTCTCTGCCTCTCTTGGTCTGTAACCTCTCAAATAAATAAATAAAATCTTAAAGAAAAAAAAAAGAATTTAGTGAAATAACCATTTAGCATGGCAACCAATTACCATTGATCTCATCCTTCAAGGAGGCATCTTGAACTAAATGTGGCCCGTCTGACCCTGGGCTGTGACTCACCTGATCCAAAAACTTCTAACCACCACTACATATACTTGGTATAAACATATCCCAACCAAGCTAGCAGATTTGAATCGATTACTAAGTACTATTTGATAAAAGTTGAGTATAAGTACAATAGAATCTCTCATCACTGACAAACAGTTGGGCAGTTAAATTTTTCAAAGGTTAAAATGTAAGTTGGGAAGAAAAAACACATACATACTTTGTTTTCACTTAGTATGTTTAAATGTGGGTTCACTTACCATTTTTTTTTTTTGGTATAGTGTCAAAGAACTTCCTTTTCTTGGAAAACGTGTCCATGAATGAGGGTCATAACCTCTTGTCTCTCAATGCATCATCTATAATTTCAGTTTGATTACAAATTTGCAAACCAATCTGATTTTTAAATTTATTTTATGATTTTCCCCAAATATTTTATACTTGCTTTCCCTAAATCTAATGTAACAAATATTTATCTTTTTTTATTCTTTTTCAGAGTAATTTTACATGTAAAGAATAGTGTTAAAAGTCTCTTAAAGGGCCAGCGCCATGGCTCAATAGGCTAATCCTCCGCCTGTGGCGCGGGCACCCTGGGTTCTAGTCCCGGTTGGGGCGCCAGATTCTGTCTCGGTTGCCCCTCTTCCAGGCCAACTCTCTGCTATGGCCCGGGAGTGCAGTGGAGGATGGCCCAAGTGCTTTGGCCCTGCACCCACATGGGAGACCAGGAGAAGCACCTGGCTGTGGCAGCCATTGGAGGGTGAACCAACGCCAAAAAAGGAAGACCTTTCTCTCTGTCTCTCTCTCTCTCACTGTCCACTCTGCCTGTCAAAAAAAAAAAAAAAAGTCTCTTAAAGAAAAACAAGAGTCCTCTGCCTCAGCCTTCTCATCTGCTCTCTCTAGAGACAATCATTTTCAACTCTTTTAATTGTTTATTTTGGAATTTGCCTTTCTAATTCTAAAGAAAATGTGTATATTCTGAATATTATCCATTTTTGGTTGTGTATACTGCTTTCCCATATTATCCATTTTTGGTTGTGTATACTGCTTTCCCATTAAGACAGCTCAGAATTTTGCTTTCCAAAACTACATACTTTCCATTCCTGACCCTTCTTTTTCCAGTACAATTGTCCCTTGGTTTCTACAGGGGATTGGTTCTTCCAGGAGCCTTCTCAGATGCCAAAATCTGAGGATAATCATGTCACTTAAATGAGATGGCACAGTATTTGCATATAACCTACACATATCCTCCCTTATATTTTAAATCATCTCTAGATTGCCCATAATACCTAATACAGTGTAAATACTATGTAAATAGTTGTTATACCATATTGCTCAGAGAATTATGACAAAGAATAGAAGCACTGGGGCCGGTGCTGTGGCACAGTGGGTTAATGCCCTGGCCTGAAGCGCCAGCATCCCATATGGGTGCTGGTTCGAGTCTTGGCTGCTCCTCTCCTGATCCAGCTCTCTGCTATGGCCTGGGATAGCAGTAGAAGATGGCCCAAGTCCTTGGGCCCCTGTACCCATGTGAGAGACCCAGAAGAAACTCCTGGCTTCAGATCGGTGCAGCTCCGGCTGTTGTGGCTATCTGGGGAGTGAACCAACGGATGGAAGACCTCTCTCTCTCTCTCTCTCCATCTCCTTTCTCTGTGTAACTCTGACTTTCAAATAAATAAAAATAAAAATCTTAAAAAAAAAAAGAAAATAGTTTTCTTGGGACAGGCATTTGGCCTAGCAGTTAAGATACTGCTTGGGACACCCACATCCCATAATGGAGTAACTTCTGTTCTCTATTCCAGCTTCCTGCTAATGTACAACCTGGGAGGCAGCAGGTAATGGCTCAAGTAGTTGACTCCCTGCCACCCACATGGGAGACCTAGACTGAGTTCCTGGATTCTGACTTCAGCCTGGCCAAACCCCAGTTGTGGCAAGCATCTGGGAAGTGAACCAGCAAGTATCTGCTTCTTTCTCTGCCTTTCAAATAATAAGTAATAAACAAAGAAATAAATAATTTTTTAAAAATATTTATTTACTTGAAAGAATTACAGAGAAAAAAAGGAGAGACAGATTTTTCCATCCACTGGTTCACCCCACAAATGGCCACATCAGCGGTGGCTGGGACAGAACAAAGCCAGGAGGCGGGAGCTTCTTCTGGGCCTCCCACACGGGTGGAGGGACCCAAGGACTTGGATCCATCTTCTACTACTTTCCCAGACCATAGCAGAGAGCTGGATAAGAAGTGAAGCAGCTGGGATTCGAACTGGTGCCCATATGGGATGCTGGTGCTGCAGGCCGGGGCTTTAACCTACTATGCCACAGTGCTGGCCCTTAACTTATTTCTGAAAAGAAAATGTATCTTCTCAGAAATCTGAAGATATGTTTTTGTTGTCTTCCATCTTCCAATTAGATTCTTTTGTATCTAATTTCTTTGTGAAGGCTTTTAATTTTCTTTTTTATTCCCTAGATTTGTGAAATTTCAGAATCATGGGACTTGCAGTAGGTCTTTTTTCATCCTTGTGATGGGCACTCTGATGAGCTCTTTTATTCTGGTAATTAATACCTTTCATTTCCGAAGAAAATTTTTTTTCTTTTTTATGACATCCTTAATTGATCTTTTAACTTAATAGCCTTTCTCTATGTTTTCTTGTTTTTATTATCCTCTATATCCTCTCTTCTATTTCTTTTTTAAGAATTATTTTATTTATTTGAAAGATAGAGTTACAGAGAAAGCTAGAGCCAGAGAGAGAGAAAGGTCTTCTATTCCACTGGTTCACTCTCCAAATGACCACAACGGCCAGAGCTGAGCTGATGTGAAGCCAGGAGCCAGGATTTTCTTCAGGGTCTCCCACATGGGTGCAGGGGCCCAAGGACTTGGGCCATCTTCAACTGCTTTCCCAGGTCATAGCAGAGAGCTGGATGGAAAGTGGAGCAGCAGGGACTCAAATGGGCGCTCATAAAGGATGCAGGCAGCGGCTTCACACCACAGTGCCAGCCCCTACGTTTTCTTTTATTAGTAGTATTTGCCCTTTGAGGAGGCTTCCTGAATGTTATCTTTCATCCTTCTATGTTAATTATCTTTTGTTGAGTGACACATTCCCCTAGAGTTATGCTTACAACAACAATCATTACATCCTTGTAATATGTCCAGGAGCAGCTCAGATGGTTCTGGGCCAGGGTCTTTCATGGGGTTGCAGACAGGATGTCATCCAGGGCTGTATTTATATAGACAAGGTGAGCCTGGAGGATTCATTTCCAAGATGGTTAGAGCCCTCAGTTCTTTGGCTAGTGACAGGACACATCAGTTTCTCACTTTCTCACTTTACTTGAGCGTTCTCAGCTAACTCTCCCCAGAGCAGGTGATCAGAGACAGCAAGGGCACTAAATAACTTTTTATAACCTGGTCTCAGAAGTGACTGTCCCTGGCCGGCGCCGTGGCTCAATAGGCTAATCCTCTGCCTTGCGGCGCCGGCACCCCGGGTTCTAGTCCTGGTTGGGGCGCCGGATTCTTTCCCGGTTGCCCCTCTTCCAGGCCAGCTCTCTGATGTGGCCAGGGAGTGCAGTGGAGGATGGCCCAAGTCCTTGGGCCCTGCACCCCATGGGAGATGAGGAGAAGTACCTGGCTCCTGCCATCGGATCAGCGTGGCCACGGCAGCCATTGGAGGGTGAACCAACGGCAAAAGGAAGACCTTTCTCTCTGTCTCTCTCTCTCTCACTGTCCACTCTGCCTGTCAAAAAAAAAAAAAAAAAAAAGTGACTGTCCCTCCCACTCTTTCTGTTAGAAGAGAGTCACTAAATCCAGCCCATACCCAAGCTCCTCTTCTTGAAAGGGACAATATCAAAGAATGTATGGCATATGTGAAAACCACTACTCACATTAGAATATTTTATTTTGGTTATTACAGTACGAGATATGTTCCAAGGTCCCCAGTGGCGGCCTGAAACCATGAATATTTTCAAGCCTTATATGTACTGTGTCTTCTCCTAGATACACATACCTATGAAGGTTTACATTTTAAGTTAGTTACAGTAAAAGTAACAATAATAACTAATAAAATGGAATAATTCAAATGATATACTATGGTAAAAGTTATCTTTAAAACTTATAGATTGTTTATTTTGTGAATTTTCTTTGTAGTATATTTGGGCCATGATTGACGGCAAGTAGCTGAAATGACAGAAGGCAGAACTGTGGATAAGGGGCAAGTGCCATGTTTTTGTTTTTTTTGTTTTTTTTGTTTTTTTTTGTTTTTTTAATTTTTTGACAGGCAGAGTGGACAGTGAGAGAGAGAGAGACAGAGAGAAAGGTCTTCCTTTTTTGGCGTTGGTTCACCCTCCAATGGCCGCCGCGGCCGGCGCACTGCAGCCGGCGCACCGCGCTGATCCGATGGCAGGAGCCAGGAACCAGGTGCTTTTCCTGGTCTCCCATGGGGTGCAGGGCCCAAGCACCTGGGCCATCCTCCACTGCACTCCCTGGCCACAGCAGAGAGCTGGCCTGGAAGAGGGGCAACCGGGACAGAATCCGGCGCCCCAACCGGGACTAGAACCCGGGGTGCCGGCGCCGCTAGGCGGAGGATTAGCCTAGTGAGCCGCGGCGCCGGCCAGTGCCATGTATTTTGATTTCTAAGGGACATTCTTGGCCTTTTGGTTTTCCTTTTCATATTTTCTCCTTTTTCTCTAAAGATATTATAATTTATTTGAAATTGTCTTCTGTTTTCTACATTAGTTCTGTTTCTTCTGAGTCCTTTTTCCTGTGAGTTTATTTTGGCCTCTGTTTTCTCATTGATTATTGCCCTCAAATATCTGTTTATCCTCGCCTCCCCTTTAATGAAGAAGCTGACTAGGAGCCCATGGAGGGAGCTGCCCTTTTGTGGGCTTCACTGGAAGCTTCCCTCTGGATCTGCAGTTTTTTCCAGAGAAGAATCCTTGGGAGATTGGTTATGTGCTCGTCTATTGGCATCCTCAGACCAGGACAGGTGAAGCAGGTTTTGAGAGATCTTTTGGGGATCTGGCTTTCACTCCATCATCAGACTTTCATTCTTGCACCATATGCCAGCCTTTGCAGTGAATCCTGTCCAGGGATGCATTGCCTCCTAGATTGAGCTCTTCTAGGGAAATCTTTCATATCCTTGGTAGGGCAGAGTGATGTGCCTGATTATGCTAAATGCTCTGTAAACAGCTTCAGTAATTCTCTTCTATTGATGTGAAAGTCAGAGTTACACAGAGAGAGAGAGAGAGAGAGAGAGAGAGAAAATCTTCGATCTACCGGTTCACAGCCCAAATGGCCATAAATGGGGCCAGGCCAGGCCGAAGCCAGGAGTCAGGTTACTCTCCTATATTTTGTGAAACATGTTACATTCTAAATTTTGGGCCTGTAAGATGAATTAGCTTACTTCTAGATGTATCCTTCACCACAGACGTAGATAAAAACTTTCTCTCTGATAGGTTACTTGCCAACCCTCTATCTGCTTTCTGTAATAGTTAAGAAAGGGCCTACATATATATACAAGCTGTTTTTTTTTTTGTTTGTTTGTTTGTTTTTTTTTTTTTTTTTAAGGCAGAAGGACAGAGAGAGGGAGAGACATAGATCTTCCATCTGCTGCTTCATTCTCCAAATGCCCATAGTAGCCAAGGCTGGGACACACTGAAGCCAGGAGCCAGGAACTCCATCTGGGTCTCCTTCTTGGATGGCAAAGACCCAACTACATGAATCATTATCTGCTGCCTTCCAGTGTGCACATTAGCAGGAAACTGGATCAACAGTAGAGGCGGGAATCCATCCTAGGCACTCTAATATAGGGGAAAGGCATCCTAAGCAGTGGCTTAACCTGCTGTCCATTGCCCACCCCATCTTCTTGAATAACTTGAACAATTCCTCTACTTATCTTTTTTAATATTCAGTCTTTTTAAAAAATATTTGTTTATTTATTTGAAAACCAGAATTACAGAGAGGCAGATGCAGAGAGAGAGAGAGAGAGAGAGAGAGAGAGAGGTCTTCCATCTGCTGGTTCACTCCCCAGATGGCCACAGATTGGCCCGGAGCTGGGCCAATCCGAAGCCAGGAGCCAGGAGCCAGGAGCCAGGAGCTTCTTCCAGGTCTCCCACGCCCGTGCAGGGCCCAAGGACTTTGGGCCATCTTCTTCTGCTTTCCTAGGCCACAGCAGAGAGCTGGATCGGTAGTGGAGCAGGGGAGACTGGAACCAGTGCCCATATGGGATGCTGGCACTGCAGGTGGTGGCTTTACCTGCTACACCACAGCGAAGGCCCCAGAAAAGTTTCTATAACCAGTCTTTGATTCTAAGAATATTCTGGTTTTTTCCTAATGTTTCTGTAGGACTACTTCATACGTTTAGTTCTCTAATTCATCTAGAATTTATTTTTAAGCATGACGTGAGGTAGGAGATCTTTATTACACTAAGAAATACCCCTTTATTCTTAATTTTCAAATAGCTTTTTCAAAGAAAGGCAATGCATATTTTTAGTTTCTAGTGGTCTATGTTCTCTGTTTCCCCTGAAAGCATTCTAAAAGAGGCCTGAACCACTCCTGTTGCAGCTGAGAGCTATTCTGGCATGAATAAAAAGGTGGCCCAAGTCCTTGGGTCCCTGCACCCGCATGGGAGACCTGGAGGAGGCTCCTGGCTCCTGGCTTCAGATCCACGCAGCTCTGGCCGTTGTGGCCACTTGGGGAGTGAACCAACGGAAGGAAGACCTTTCTCTCTGTCTCTCTCTCTCACTGTCTAACTCTGCCTGTCAAAAAAAAAAAAAAAAAGAAAGAAAAGAAACTTTTTATTAGAAGACATTAAGCCTAGATGACTAAAAGACTGACAGTTTTTACTGAATACATTCTAAGTTCGCATCAAAAGACATCATAGAGTTAAAAATAGAGAGACTGGGAAAAAATGTGTGCTATATAAAGATATATGTATAGCGATATCTATCTACACAAATATACACATGTATAAAGACCATATACATGCACATATGTACATATCTATGATTCATGTGTACAATAATATTCAGAATATATTAAAAAGAAAAAGCTCCTAAGAAAGGCACCAATCCAGACCCCATCTCTCATCCAACAACTGACATTAACTTATTGGGAACTGACTATGCCAGGCACTGTGTTAGGCACTAGATATACTTCAGTGACAAATATAGATAAAAGGTAAATAAGATACAGATTATGACAAGTTCAAGGAAGGAAATAACAGGGTAATGCAACAGAAGAGAAGTTGTAAACTGCTGCTCTTGGGGCCAGATACAGCCCGGTAACATGTTCAGCCTGCAGAATGTTTCCCAGAAATTCGGACAAACACTTAAAGTCAGGAAATATTATATAAAACCACATTTCTGACTTCTTAAAAAAATTATATCTGGCCACATTGGCTCTAAACTGTGATCCTAAATGACAAGTAACAGAGCAGTGTAGCAGCTGTTCCTTCAGGTAGGGTAGGTTTCTTACCCAGCTCGCTCTACTCATAAGCATTTGTCTGGCCCTATGGGTGACTAAATTGCAGATCCCAATATGGAGAATAACTGGGAGAGGCTCACCTGCAGTGAAGATAGAGTAATCAAGGAGGTGATGTCTGTGCAACACCCTGAAGAATGAGAGCAATCTAGGGGTGTGTAGAGAGCTCAGGCCCGAGTTTCATCTTCATAAAAGCAAATTTCAAAATCTTAACAGCTCAAAGCCAAAAATGTAGGAAGGCACCTCCACGTCCCACTTGGATTGTACTGCTTTCACTGCAGCCCAGCAAGAAGCCTGAAACCCACCTCCCACTTCTAGCCTTTTTCTTGTGCAAACCCTGACATACCTATGCAGTCTGCCCACTGTCCATGACCTCATAGCAAAAGAAAGCGTACAATAATATTTGTGATGCCTCTACGCTTTCCATAAAGACTTTGAGCCAGGGGGCCAGCCCTGTGGCATAGTGGCTTAGGCTGCTGCCTGCAGCGTTGGCATCCCATATGGGTGCCAGTCCAAGTCCTGGCTGTTCCACTTCCAATCCAGCTCCCTGCTAATGTGCCTGGGAAAGCAGTGAAGGATGGCCTAAGTTGTTGGCCCCCTGAACCCACATGGGAGACCCAGAAGAAGCACCTGGCTCCTAGATTCAGCCTGGCCCAGTCCTGGCTGTTGTGGCCATCTGGGGAGTGAACCATTGGAAGGAAGATCTCTCTCTCTCTCTGGCGCTCTCTCTCTCTCTCTGTTGCTCTCACTCTTGCTCTAACTCTGTCTTTCAAATAAATAAATCTTTAAAAAAAAAAAAAAGACATTCAGCCAATTTGGCTAACCTCTGCCAAGTTTGGTTTCAACAATTTCAGCTACATCAGTCAATCTTTTACCTGGAAATTCTATTCAATAGTAATTATGGTCCCTCCCTAAGAATTCCTTAAAGGCACATGAAGTACCCCTGAGCTGAACTCTGGTTCTGCATGGCAAGTTTTAGGGCATATAGGCACTCAAGGAAACTACTCCAATAACTTTTCATTTATTTATTTATTTTTGGTATTAGTTTTTCCATTTCTTTCTTACATCTTTCTTTTTAAAAAAAAAGATTTATTTATTTATTTGTTTATTTATTTGAAAGGCAGTGACAGAGAAGAAGGGATCTTCTGTCTGCTAGTTCACCCCCCAAATGCCCATGACAGCCAGGACTGGGCCAGACCAAAGCCAGGAACTTGAAACTCCATCCAGGTCTCCCTCATGGGCAGCAGTGGCCCAAGTACCCGAGCCATTATCCACTGCCTTCCCAGGCACATCCCAGGAAGCAGGATAAGAAGCAGAACAGCTGGGACTCCAATATGTTGACTGCCAGCATCAGTGTCACAGTGGTAGCTTACCTGCTGCACTCCAATGCCAGCCCCTCTTCCTTGTGTCTTGGAACCCCACATTCACTATTTCCATGGCCCTCCCCAACCATACAGCAAAATTCCTGGAAAGAGTTTCCTGTTCTTTGTTGTCTGATTGTTCTGCAATTCTTTCTTTTCTTTTCCCTTTTAAAGATTTATTTATTTATTTGAAAGGCAGAATTATAGAGAGGCAGAGAGAGAGAGAAAGAGAGAGAGAGAGAGAGAGAGAGAGAGAGAGAGAGAGAGGTCTTCCATCCATTGGTTCACTCCCCAAATGGCCACAAAGGCCAGAGCTGTGCAAATCTGAAGGCAGGAGCCAGGACTTTTTCCAGGTCTCCCACATGGGTGCAGGGACCCATGGACTTGGGCCATCCACTACTGCTTTCTCAGACCATAGCAGAGATCTGGATTGGAAGTGGAGCAGCCAGGACTCAAACTGGTGCCCTTATGGGATGCCAGCACTGCTGACAGTGGCTTTACCCACTACCAGCTACCGGCCGCCTGCAACTCTTTCTTGAGGCCAGGCTCTTTCCCCAACCACTCCACTACAACTGCGAGTATCCAGTCACTAGTGACTTCCATCCTTCTAAACAGTAAACTGTTAATTCTCATAAGGTCAGCAGCTGGGGGTGGGTCAGGGTGGGGGGACCGGCGCTGCAGCATAGCGGGTAAAGCTGCTGCCTGTGATGCTGGTGTCCTGTATTGGAGCCTGACTGCTCTATTTCTGATCCAGCTCCCTGATAATGCACCTGGGAAAGCAGTCAAAGATGGCCAAAGTACTTGGAACTCCACATATACTTGGAGACCTGGAAGAAGCTTTTGGCTCCTGGCTTCTGATCATCAAATACCTGATGATACCATCACTGATACCTCCCAGTATGTGCATCAGCAGGAAGCTGGAATGGAGAACAGAGCTGGAACTTGAACCCAAACACTCTGATGGGAGGGGGCCCATCCCAAGTGGCAGCTTACCCATGAAGCCCATGCATAATTCTTTTCTAACACACATTTCTATGAACTCTTTTGAAAATCCATTGTAGAAATTAAGTAGAAAGTGGAAGTGGAGTCAGGACTTGAACCCAGGCACTCTGCTCCGGGATACAGGCATCCCAAGAAACATCTTAACCACTGCATCAACCTCTGAATGAACTTTTAAGTTCCCTCCGGTATGTCTGCTAGTTGAAGGAACCCACAATTCCTGACTATATTCACTCTTAGTTCCACAAGCCAGACAATCCTGAAACACTGTCTTTTGTAATCTACCCTTGTCTCTAGAATGATTACTTGGTATCAGTTTTTTTTTTTCCTTTTTCTTTTTGACAGGCAGAGTGGACAGTGAGAGAGAGAGAGAGAGAGAGAGAGAGAGGTCTTCCTTTTGCCGTTGGTTCACCCTCCAATGGCCACCACGGCCGGCGTGCTGCAGCCGGCACATCGCGCTGATCCAAAGCCAGGAGCCAGGTGCTTCTCCTGGTCTCCCATGCAGGTGCAGGGCCCAAGCACTTTGGGCCATCCTCCACTGCACTCCCGGGCCATAGCAGAGAGCTGGCCTGGAAGAGGGGCAACCGGGACAGAATCCAGCGCCCCAACCAGGACTAGAACCCAGTGTGCTGGCGCCGCAAGGCGGAGGATTAGCCTATTGAGCCATGGTGCCAGCCGGTATCAGTTTCTTCACCTAGTTACTACAGTAGTTTCCCCTTATCCACAATATTGCTTGCTGTGCTTTTAGTTCCCCACCATCAACTGGGGTCCAAAAATACTGAATGGTAAATTCTGGAAACTACTAACTCCCAAGTTTTAAATTGTGTGCAATTCTGAGTTGCCTAAGAAACCTTTCACCGTTCCACTCCATGCCACCATGCACATGGGTCATTCCCTTGTCCAGCACATCCACACTGTATATGCTACCCGCCTGTTAGTCACTGAGTAGCCATCCCAGTTATCAGATATTGCAGTGTCACTGTGCTTCAGGTCGAGTAACCTTTATGTAAGTAGGCTACCTCCCAAAGTCTCTGTCATTCACTCCATCTCATCACATAGGCATTGCATCATCTCCCAGCAACCCAAGAAAGGTAGGTCATATATTTCAAGAGACTATACTTATATAACTTCTATTACAGTATATTGTTATAATTATTCTGTTTTATTATTAGCTGTTGCTAATCTCTTTCTCTGCCTAATTTATAAATTAAGCTTTATCATGGGTATGTATATAGGAAAACATATAGCAAATATAGGATTCAGTGCTATCATTCATGGTTCATATTCCTATTCATGGTTGTAGGCTTCCACTGGGGATCTTGACATTTATTCCTCACAAATAAGGGGGGAAGAGGGTACATACACACTTGACTCACACACACTGCACCTGCTCTGGCATGTCAACCTGTTCTTATGATCATATCAGCCACATTCTTACCTGCTCCTCAGATAGGCCTTAAAGAGCAACTGTAACAATGAACCTATTCATACTCATACCTTTCATTCTTAGTACTGTATCATGATAGTTTTAATCATTCATAATTTTTCTTTCAAGGACGGGGTTTTTTTTTCTCCTCGTAGGTGTAAGTATATGAACATTCAACTCAAAATGGCCCACTCAAGCTGATTCTAATGAAAACTCAGAGCTGACTCAACCACACGTAATCAAATATCCTGCCAGTCTCTGCCTCCTTCCTAGCTTCTCCTCCTGATAAAGAGCCACAATAGAAAAACCAAAGGAGAAAAACAGGTGCAGGAAGCATACTTCAGTCTATTCACAGATTCAGAAACCCAGTTTGTTATCACTATTATGATTTTAAATTTTTATTTATTTGAAAGGCAGAGAGAGACAGAAAAAGATCTTCCATCTGCTGGTTCACTCCCCAAATGCTGCAATAGCCTAGGGTAGACCAGGCCAAATTCAGGAGCCCAGAACTCAATCCAGGTCTCCCACATGGGTACCAGGAACCCAACTACTTGAGCCATTACCACTGTCTCCCAGGGGGTGCATTGGCAGGAACCTGGAATCTGGAGTGGTGTCAAGATTCATACCCAGGCGCACTGATAGGAGATGCAGGCATCCCAAGCAGCATTGTAACAACTCTGCCAAAAGCCTACCCCTGGAAACTCAGCTTTATCAGGTACTCAAAATTGTTCAGAGCTGGAGGGTGGGGGGACTAACTCACACTAAGCAAATGCACAGAGCCTCCATTTCCTCACTTGTAATTGTAAATAATGTCTGTATTACAGATTTGTTATGGAGATTAAATAATGTATGTAATGCACCTCAGACATAGCATATACAATTGCACAATAGATTATTGGAGAAAAAGTTATCCATTGGATCCAGATAACTATTTACATACAGAATATATAGCTTTCCTATAAATGTCCACTATTTAAGACATCTTTGCCAGGATAGAATACTTGAAAAGCAGTATTTTTAAGGGGAAGGACTCCTTGAATAGTGAAAGCTTCTGGCTGCCTTTATCCAGGCTCTAACAAGATCTTAGTCAGATACAACTGCCTACAAAGAGTACCTTGCACACTGATCAGAATTCTTAGGTCCACCAATGCGTAGATTGCTATTCCTCCCAATTCATGCTTTCTGACCCTGAAATGAATTGCTCCTGCAACTTCAGCCCAGCTTCCAGTGTTCCAGAGTTTGTCCACCTTATGCCCTGATATGATGTACTCTCTCTCTCTCTCTCTGTCGATTTGTTTACTTGAACAGCAAGAAAGAATGAGAGATAGAGAAAGAAATTTTGAATCCTTTGGTGCACTCCCCAAATGGCTTCAAAGACTAAGACTGGGCAAGACCAAAGCCAGGTGCCTGGAACTCCATCTGAGTCTCCCATGTCGGGGGGAGGGACCCAGATACTTGAGCCATCTTCTGTGCTTCCCAAGCACATGAGCAGGGAGCTGGATTGGAAATAGAGCAGCCAGGACTCTGATATGGGATGCTGGAGTCCCAAGTGTCAGCTTAACCCACTGTGCCACAACCCCTGCCATGGTCTCTCGAGTACCTAAGCTTTCCTTTCTGTCCTGCACAGGAGAGCATGGTAATCTCTCTGATTTTTCCTCTGATAATTCTATCTCACTATCTGCTTTGAACCCTGCTCTCTTCTCCACCCTTAGCCTCATACCTAGATAATCCTGTTAGTCTAGAAGTGTCTTGGTTTGGATTTCAGATAAATTCCCTCTAATCTGGCCCTTTTCGGAGTTAACTCTCTTGCCCTATCTTAAGAAAATCCTAGGTTACCCCTGTAGGCTAGATCTCATCACAACACAAGTCCAGGCACTCAGGATATTGCTCAGTGCTAGGAAACTCAGAGGCCCATTGATAGGGATGAGTAGTAGGGGAGAGATCAGGCTTTTTTTTTTTTTTAAAGATTTATTTATTTATTTGAAAGTCAAAGTTACACAGAGAAGGAGAAGCAGAGAGAGAGAGAGAGAGAGAGAGAGAGAGAGGTCTTCTATCTGCTGGTTCACTCCCCAATTGGCTGCAATGTCCAGAGTTGTGCCAATCTGAAGCCAGGAGCTTCCTCCAGGTCTCCCACACGGATGCAAGGGTCAAGTACTTGGACCATCCTCCACTGCTTTCCCAGGCCACAGCAGAGAACTGAATCAGAAGTGGAGCAGCCGGGACTCGAACTGACGTCCATATGGGATGCTGACACTGCAGGCAGTGGCTTTATCCGCTACACCACAGCACCAGCCCCAATCAGGCTTGTTCTTAAGACAAACGACCTCTCCCTGCCAGACTGTCCAGCGAGTACTCTCTAGTCACACTCTGACCACTAAGCTCTTCACAACCACATGGCTTTACTTCAGCTTCCTCCATGGCTGCCCTTACCCTTCTCTTCCCAGAGGAATTCACTCACACACCCTGCCTAGAAATGGTCTCACTTCCAGCTCCAAATGAATTGCATCAAAGAGAAGCTTAACCCTTAAGTCTCCGATAAAAGATGCATGCATCTCACTTGTGTCCTCATTTTCTGAATCCTGCAGGAGAACTCAACAGGTGGTTTTCCCAATCATGGCCAGCATGTCCTTTGCTCAACCTCCCAGTTCTCCTGGCCTCTGAGCTGCCTGTTTAGTCAGGAGACAGCTGGAGATGCCATTTACTTGGGCTCCAGCAGAGGGCACCATAGTTCTGGTTTTTCAAACAAGAGCATGAATGGCACAATTCAGCCAACAATTTCTGAGCTGTCCAGAGCCTCTGGACCCCTTGGCCTTTCTTAATGTAAAGGTGTCTTGGAAACAACCCATATGTGCCTTCTACATACTACCAGTCCTGATCCATGTGAGACTAGAGGGGAAGGGGAAGGGGAAGGTACTATGCTACTCAGAGCTACACTTATCAAAACCAAAGATGTGGGTCTACCTCCAAACTAGGTGTCTGCTGCAGCAAACATGCCACTTTTCCCATAGGGCTCAGCCTTTCTGGTCTTCCCCACTGCAACTGGTCCAGTCCACTGGCAGAGTGACCCACTAAGTTCCAGACCTCTACTCCCCCCAGTACTGGCCATAGGAAATGATAGTTCACATTTCAGTAGAGCTCAGTGAGGCAAGGTTTTGGTTCTGGATCAAGGCAATCATGTTTTGTTTCCCCACCCAACTCAACATTGCTCCAGGTGAGCACACAACCTTAACAGGATCCCCAGTGAGCTATCCACCGGTTAGCCCATCAGGAGGCTGGATGCACCTTTTCAAATCCTTGGTCTTTTCTGGAAGCCATTTAAATTATTTCAAGGTGCAGTTTAGTTTGGTGGTTAAGTGTGTGGGCTTGGGGGGAGGATGGGACAGCTGTTAGGAGCTGAATTGTAAGATACTTCTTGGAACAGCACCACATTCTGTATTGTAGGTTACTTGTTTGAAGTACTGGCTCCACTTCTGATTCCAACTTCCTGCTAATGTACACCCTGGGAAGACAGCAAATGATGGCTTAAGTATGTGGGTCCCTGCTACCCATGTAGAAGACCCTGATTTAGTTCCTAGCTCCTGGCTTCAGCCTGGCCCAGCCCTGGCTGTTGTGGGCATTTGGGGAGTGGATCAATGGATGGATTTCAATATCTCTCTCTCTCTCCCTCTCTCTCTGCTTTCAAATAAAAATGAAAATAAATAGGCCGGCACCGCAGCTCAATAGGCTAATCCTCCACCTAGCGGTGCTGGCACACCGGGTTCTAGTCCCGGTCGGGGCGCCGGATTCTTTCCCGGTTGCCCCTCTTCCAGGCCAGCTCTCTGCTGTGGCCCGGGAAGGCAGTGGAGGATGGCCCAAGTGCTTGGGCCCTGCACCCCATGGGAGACCAGGAGAAGCACCTGGCTCCTGGCTTTGGATCGGCGCGGTGTGCCGGCTGTAGTGGCCACTGGGGGGTGAACCAACGGAAAAGGAAGACCTCTCTCTCTCTCTCTCTCACTATCTACTCTGCCTGTCAAAAAAAAAAAAAAAAAAAAAAAAGAAAGAAAGAAAATAAATAAAATTTAAAAATTTTTAGACTATGGAACCAAACTACTTGGGTTAAACTTATGTCTCTGCCATATGCTAATTATTGAACATAAGCAAATTACTACACTTCTTTGTGCCTATTTCCTTTTTGTAAAATAGTAATAGTACCAAGCACATCCACTAAGTACCAGCTGTTTTCATTGTCATCACATCTAGAAAATCCACATACTCCACTTTACACCAGCAATCTACAACCAGCACCAAATTCCATGTTATCTCATGTCCCATGGTTTCCCATGTTCAAAATCCTGAAGAAGTGTACCACTTGGAGGATGGCATATTCTGGATGTGAAAGCAAAGGACTGCTACCCTGTGGAAAATGGGCCCTGAGGTTGGTCTCATTCACTGGGCTCAGGCTTCTGTCCATTTTCTCCCTAAGTATTCATAATTTCCTTCTATCAGGGAAGGCAGTAAGTGCCAGAGAGCCTTCCAAACACACTTCAGCCAATTTCAGCACATGTTAATACTCCATCCAACTTCAAGGGATTAATGTCCAATATTTGACATGACTTCCTAGGCAGGAGTCACTTACTATACCATAACATTTTCTCTCAAACTGATCTGGTATGAATTTCTAGTTGCAGCACCACCACCTCCAAGACAACTGCAAATAATGTGTGTTTGATATTATCACCATAAGGACCCATGCCCTACTCTGAAGTCATACTTCTGGAAGCCACTGGGAAGACCCATTCCAAAAAGTCTTCAACCTAAAACCATTGTTGCCAGTCAGCCTCAGCTGTAACAAGCAGAGGCATGGGGAAAAACAGTGGATAACGAAAGTCTGTATGACCACCCCTAGAACACAAGGAAGTCTGTAGTACTGAAAAATCTGCATCATTCAAATGGATGGAAAATCCACTCCAGTGCTTCTATTTTTTTTAAAGATTTATTTATTTATTTGAAAGTCAGAGTTACACAGAGAGAGGAGAGGCAGAGAGAGAGAGAGGTCCTCCGTCCGATGGTTCACTCCCCAAATGGCTGCAACAGTTGGAGCTGCGCCTATCTGAAGCCAGGAGCCAGGAGCTTCTTCTGGGTCTCCCATATGGGTGCAGGGGCCCAAGGACTTGGGCCATCTTCTACTGCTTTCCTAGGCCACAGCAGAGAGCTGGACAGGAAGTAGAGCAGCCGGGTCTCGAACCAGCGCCCATATGGGATGCCGATGCTTCAGGCCAGGGCGTCAACCCACTGTGCCACAGCACCAGCCCCAGTGCTTCTATTTTCCATTTGAATTTTTTGATTAACATACAATACTGTACTTTTTTTTTTTTTTTTTTTTGAGACAAAGAGAGAGACACAAGTCCCATTTACTAAATCATTCCCAAAATGCCCACAAGGGTCAGGGTTGGGCCAGGCTGAAGCTGGGAGGCAGGAATTCAATCCAGGTTTCCCACATGGGTCACAGGAACATGAATGCTTGAGCTGTCACTACTACCTCCCAGGTCTGCAATAACAAGCTAGCTGGAATTAGGAGCAAAGCCAGAACTCAAACCCAGGTACTGCAGTAATGGGATGCAGGGTATCCCAAGGGGTGTGTGCCTACCCCAATATTTGTGCTTTTTTATTGGGTACTGTGTTTATTTTAATACATGCATATAACATAAACAGATTAAATCAGGCAATTGATATTTCCACTTCCTTATCTTTCTTTCATGTTCGGAGCCTTATTAGCTCTTCTATTCCAGATATTTCTACAATATATAGTAATTATTGTGAATTATAGTAACCCCATTGTGCTATGGAACACTAGAACTTATTCCTAACACCTGTATTTTAGTACCCATTATCCAATCTCCATCCACTCCCCTGCCCGCTGCAATAATCACTAATTTAAGTTCAGAGCAGTTTTTGTCTAACTTCCACATATCAGAGAGAACATGCAGTAGTCTCCATGTCTGGCTTATTTCTTAATATAATGACCTTTAGTTCTATCTGTTAGCTGCAAATACCAGGATCTCATTTTTTTTTAAGATTTATTTATTTGAAAAGCAGAGCTACAGAGGGAGAAGGAGAGAGATCTTCTATCTACTGGTTCACTCCCCCAAATGGCTGCAACAGCCAGGGTTGGGTCAGGCCAAAGCCAGGAGCTTCATCCAGGTCTCCCATGTGTGTGGCAGGGGACCAGCTATTTGGGCCATCTTGCGCTGCTTTTCCCAGGCACATTAGCAGGGAGCTGGATCGGAAGTGGAGCAGCCAGGACTCGAATTGGTGCTCACATGGAATGCTAGCGTTGCGAGTGATGGCTTAACCCATAGTGCCACAGCACCAGCCCCAAGAACCTCATTCTTTTTTATGGCTGAATAATACATTGTGTTATCCAAGTGCTTTTATACCACCCAGGATGTCCTTTGCAGTGCATTCAAAGCTCCACACGTGGTTTTCTAACAGCTCCCACTGATGGCCCAGTTCTAGAAGAAGCTATTTAAAGCACTCAGTATTTATTTGCCAACAAAGACAGTATACAGCATGGTATTAACTGGGTGGATGAAGAACCTCTTGTATCACCTGCTAACAAAATGACTGATTGATTCACCTTGCAGCAGTGCAAATTTACTCACAGAGGGCTCATCTCATCCCTCTACTCAGAACTTTTCACAATAATTGGGCCATGATTCTCATCCACCCCCTGCCACTCATCACCCCAGGTGCCTTCCAAACTGTGGCAGCTTGGTGAAGCTATGGGTTACAAATAACATCTCCAAGCTTTGACAAAAATGAATACAAGGTGTTTGCCAACTGGTGCTTGATTCAGGAGGAAGGCATCCAAGTGGGCAAGACTCTCCAGCAACATATCTCGGCACAGAGTAGCAAAATGGCAAGCTGGGAGCCTACTAGTTACACACTGAGATAATAGAGAACATCAGCCGGCTGGATTTTTTAAAGATTAATTTATTTATTTGAAAGGTAGAATTACAGAGAGAGCTGGAGGAGAACAGAGAAAGAGATCTTCCATCACTTGTTCACTCTGCAAATGGCCACAATGGGTGGGCCAAAGACAGGAGCCAGGAACTCTATCTGGGATCTCCCACATGGCTGGCAAGGGCCCAAGTATTTGAGCCATCATCCACTTTCATACCAGATATATTAGCAGGGAACTGGATCAGAAGTGGAGTAGCTAGGACTCAAACAGCACTCTGATAGCATCGTAGGCAGCAGCTTAGCCTGCTGTACAATAGTGGGAGCACTAGCTGGCTACATTCCTAAGGGCAGTTTGAGTCCTCAAAATCAGATAAAGAGCTCAGACCCACTAGGATATCATGTTCTTTTTTAAAATATTTATTTATTTATTTATTTATTTATTTATTTATTTATTTGAAAGGCAGAATTGCAGAGAGAGAGAGAGAGAGAGAGAGAGAGAGAGAGAGAAAGTCTTCCATCTACTGGTTCACTCCCCAAATGGCCGCAACGGCCAGAGCCAGGAGCCAGGAGCCAGGAGCCAGGAGCTTCTTCCCGGTCTCCCACAGGGACCCAAGGACTTGAACTGTCTTCCACTGCTTTCCCAGGCCTTAGCAGAGAGCTGGAGCAGCCAGGACTCAAACCAGTACCCATAGGGAATACCAGCACTGTAGGTGGCGGTTTTAACCACTATGCCACAGTCCACTCGTGTTCTTTCTTCTCAATTGACATCTATCTGCCCATGGACATTCTGCCACCCCCACTTTGCCTAAAGTCAAACCAACCAAGCTAGGGGCCAGCGCCGTAGAGTACTAGGTTAATCCTCTGCCTGCAGCCCCAGCATCCCATATGGGCGCCGGTTCTAGTCCCAGTTGCTCCTCTTCTGATCCAGCTCTCTGCTGTGGCCTGGGAAAGCAGTAGAAGACGGCCCAAGGGGCTTGGGCCCCTGCACCTGCATGGGAGTCCAGGAAGAAGCACCTGGCTCCTGGCATCAGATCGGCGCAGCTCTGGCCATTGCAGCCATTTGGGGAGTGAACCTATGGAAGGAAGACCTCTCTGTCTCTCTCTGTCTGTAATTCTACCTGTCCAATAAATAAATAAAATCTTTAAAAAAAAAAAAAGCTCAAATGACACTTCTTCCAGGAAATGTCTTTTCATTTCTGTAACCTATGCTGAAGTACAAACCTCCATTCCAGTCCAGGTTTGAGAACTAACTCTATATACTAACCAAGGCCACCACTCTAAGTTCCCAACTGAACAGAGAAGAGACTCAAAGTATACCCTACTCTGCAATGTCATTCTCTCACATTCAGAATTTTTTTTAAGATTTATTTAATTACTTGAAAGGTGGAGTTACAGAAAGGGAGATGCAGACATAGAAAGTCTTCCATCTGCTGGTTCACTTCCCAAATGGCCACAATGGCTGGAGCTGGGCCAATCTGGAGCCTGGATCCAGGAGCCAGGAGCCTCTTCTGGGTCTCCCACATAGGTGCAGGGGCCCAAGCACTTGGGCCATCTTCTACTGCTCTCCAAAGGCACATTAGCAGGGAGCTGGATTGAAGCGGAGCAGCCAGGATTTGAACAAGTGCCCATATGGGATGCTGGCACTGCAGGGGGTGGTTTAATCCACAGTGCCACAGCTATGACCTCTCAGATTCAGAATGTTGAAGGGCATTCTGAGTGGAGGGGGAAAGGGAGTGGGGGAGGGACCAGAGGATGAATGAGTAGGGTTAAGCTAGGAAGGAGGAGAAACAGCAGGAGCTAAGGAAGAACTCCAGAACAGAAGTGTCATCCCCACCCTCCACCTGAGATGACTCAGCTATCCTCACCACTCCCATCCAGAGCGATGGCAAACGCTGATCCAGTTCCTGCCAAGCAAGATACAAATCTGAGCCCCATGAAGATGGAAAAGAGGTCCTTAAAACAGCAGATGTGCATCCAGATTTTATTCTGTACCTGATACTGGCTGAGGAAGACAGGAAGAAAGGTGTTTCTCTCTCTCTCTCTCTCTCTTTTTTTCCCTCTCTGTAACTCTGCTTTTCAAACAAATAAATCTTTAAAATATAATAATAATACTGGGAAGCACATACAAGCTGCAGGAGGGGTGCTGGCATTGTGGCACATTGGGTTAAGTCACCAGCTGCAACGTCAACATCCCATGTGAACGCCAATTCTAGTCCTGGCTGCTCCACTTCCAATTCAGCTCACTGCTAATGGCCTGGGGAAGCAGCAGAAGATGGCCCAAGTCCTTGAACACCTGCCACCCATGTTGGAGATCCAGATGGAATCTCAGTCTCCTGGCCCAGCTCCAGCCACTGCAGCCATTTGTTGAATAAACCAGTTGATAGAAGATATCTTTGTCTCTCTGCCCTTCTCTCTCTCTTCTGTAACTCTGCTTTTCTAATAAGCAAATAAATCTTTTATATATATATATATATATATATATATATATATATATATATATATAAAAATGTTTCAGGAGGAATGGAGAACTGAGCCTGGTAAAGAGCAACCAGAAACAGTGCTTAGAAACATGCCACAGACCTGGGCTGTCCCAGACCCTATTGCATTCATCACTCTGATAGGCACTGCTGGTGCCATGGGCCCAGGCCCTGGGACACTGCTACAGGACATAAGATACACCCTCACTGCTGTCACTTCTATCACTAGCAAACTTTCTATGGCCAATGCTTCTTTTGCAGCCTCATATGATTCAAAATCTGCCTGGAAAAATTAGTTTCCCATGCCCTTGCTGCAAGACAGATAGATGGGACCAGAGTTGTGGCGTAGCGGGTAAACCCATGGCTTGTGCCACTGGCATCCCATATGGGTGCTGGTTTGAGTTCCGCTTGATCCATTTCCCATCCAGCTCCCTGCTAATGGTTCAGAGAAAGCAGTGGAAAATGGCCCAAGTGCTTGGGTCCCTGCCACACATGTGGGAGACCCAGATGAAGCTCCTTGCTCCTGGCTTCAGCCTGGCCCTGTCTTGGCTGTTGCAGCCATCTGTAGAGTAAACCAGTATATGGAAGATCTCTTTCCTTCTCTCTCTGTAAATCTGGATTTTGAATTAATAAATAAATCTTTAAAAAAAAAAAAAGAAAAGAAAGAAAGAAAAGAGGGGCCAGTGCTGTGGCGTAACAGGTAAAGCTGTCACCTGCAGTGTGGCATCCCATATGGGCACCAGTTCAAGTCCTGGCTGCTCCACTTCCAATCCAGATCCCTGCTATGGCCTGGGAAAGCAGTGGAAGATGGCCCAAGTCGTTGGTCCCCTGCACCCACGTGGGAGACTCAGAAGAAGTTCCAGGCTCCTGGCTTTGGATTGGCCCAACTCCAGCCATTACAGCCATCTGGGGAGTGAACCGATCCAAAGCCAGGAGCCAGGAGCTGCTTCTGTGTTTCCCATGTGGGTGCGGGGGCCCAAGCACATGAGCCATCTTCCATTGCTTTCTCAGGCCATAGCAGAGAGCTGGAATGGAAGAGGAGCTGTCGGGACTCGAATTGTGACCCATATGGATTGCCAGCACTGCAGGTGGAAGCTTAGCCCACTACACCATAGCACCAGCCCCTGGAGGGCCTCTCTCCCTATGCCTCTCTCTAACTGCCTTTCAAATAAATAAATATATCTTAAAAAAAAAAAAAGAAAGAAAGAAAGAAAAGAGACTGGGTAAGAAAGACCACAGCAGCCTCTCAAGCAGGGGTGGGAACATTGGCCCGCAGGCCAGGTAAGTCCGCAAAAGTATCTGGTCTGGCCAAGTCAGCTGCAGGCAGGACTCAGTCCAATAAATGCAGAGCAGGCGATGTTTAAGTTGATAATGTCATATGGCTTGCGGATGATATTCTAAATACCCAAATGCTCTTGGCATAAAAAAGTCTCCCCACCACTGCTAAGATAGAGGTTTTGCTTCCCAAGAGGCAATTCCCAAATACAAGAAGTGTTTGGTAGCCTCTACTCTGTATTATCCTACCTTTCCTATCTCCATGCCTCTCTCCATCCCCCAGCCCTCCAGGCTCCAAATCAACAGAAAATGCTAACATTCTCTGCATCCCTAATGCTTCTAACACACTTACCCTCACTGCTGCCAGAAATGCCCTTCCTGATTCTACTCAAGCTCATGATCTCCAGATCTTCCAAGACTTAGCTCAAACACAGCTTCGCCTGTTTGACCATCTGAACTCTGGGCCATCTTTCACTGTTTTCCCAGGCCATAGCAGAGAGCTGGATCAGAAGTGGCGCAGCCAGGTCTTGAACTGGCGCCCACATGGGATGCTGGCACTGCAGGCGGCGGCTTTACCCACCACGCCACAGCACCGGCCCCAGGGAGTCAGAGAACCAGATGATTGCCAAGTACTCAGAACAGTTCTGTTTTCTTTTTCAGACCAGAAGGAGCCAGGGATTCCTAGGCTCCCTCCCATTGTCTCAGAAGATGGGAATTATCCTGTGCACCACAACAGCCACACTAAGTACCACGAAGCTGTACGGAAGGTGTGGTTGAAGACATGTAAGTATCTCAGAACGGGCACAGTTCCAGAGGAAGACAACACATGTCTAGAGTTCCTAAGGAATGGCTCAGATGCAGACAGGGCATGGATTTAGGGCAGAGAGAGAGAGAGTGAGTATTATATTTTAAAAATTTAAAAAAAAAAAAAACAGGAAGAGAGACTGAGAATGGAGTGGGAGGAAATAGAGTTGAATGGTGCGTTGAGCATGATATAAATAGACAAATAAATAAACAGTAAGTCAGATTCAGAGAGGCAGAAGATCCAGATTTGAATCCCAGTTTGTTCTGCCTGTTTTTAGTTACCTCACCCTGGGTAAGTCACTTCTCTTGATATTAAGCCGTTTCCTCCATCATTTAAGAGAGAATGAGAATGCCTGTCCTACTGCAACACCAATCATATAGAATTGTTGTGAGGCTCAAACCAAAAATGAAACCATTTAAGAAAGTACTTTGTATATTATCATTGCGTGATCAGTACCAGCTTTGGAATTTGCACTGAGTTTAAACTACAAACAAGTTCTGTGGCCTTAGGCAAATTCCTCTTCCCGCTTAACCTCTTTATCATCTGAAAATGGAGATAATACCCATAAGCACTTTGTAAAAGTTAGAGAAAATGTACACTTTAAAAACAACATCTGGGGCATCCCATATGGAAACACCGGTTCAAGTCCCAGCTGTTCTGCTTCCAATCCAGCTCCCTGCTGAAGTCCTGGAAAAGCAGCAGAAGATGGCCCAAGTGCTTGGGCTGCTGCCACACACACGGGGGACCCAGATGGAGTTTCGGGCTCCTAGCTCCAGGCCTAGCCCTGACCATTGCGTTCATTTGGGAAGTGAACCAGTGACTAGAAGATCTCTCTCTCTTGGTCTGGCCCTCTCTCTGTAACATTGCCTTTCAAGTAAATAAATAAATCTCTAAAAACAAAAACAAAACAAAACAAAACAAAACAAAAACCCTGGGGGCCTAAGTTTTGGCCTAATGGTTAAGTGCCTGCGTTCAAAACCAGGCTTGCTATTGACTTCAGCTTTCTACTAATTCAGGCCCTGGGAAGCAGTGGTGATGGTTCAAGTAATTGGGCTCCTGCCTACCCAACAGGAGACTGAGTTTTGGCTCCTGGCTTTGGCCCCAGCCCAGCCTCAGCTTTGTGGGCATTTGGGGAATGATCCACAGAAGGGAGCTCTCAAATAAAACATCTAGGACAAGCTCCTGATACAAAACAGTAACATATCAGGAACCTCCAGGGAATTACGCTATGTAAAGAAAGACAATCCCATGGGGCCTGCACTGTGGCAGAGAGGGTTAATGCCCTGGCCTGAAGCACCAGCATCCCATATGGGCGCTGGTCCTAGTCCCGGCTGCTCCACTTCTGATCCAGCTCTCTGCTATGGCCTGAGAAAGCAGTAGAAAACGGCCCAAATCCTTGGGTCCCTGCATCCACGTGGGAGACCTGGAGGAAGCTCCTGGCTCCTGGCTTCGGATGGGCACAGTTCCGGCCGTTGTGGCCAACTGGGGAGTGAACCATCGGATGGAAGACCTCTCTCTCTCTCTGCCTATCTTCTCTCTGTGTAACTCTTAATTTCAAATAAATAAATAAATCTTTAAAAAAAAAATGAAGAAGAAGACAATCCCGAGGAGGGCGTTGTGGCACAGTGGGTTAGACCAACACTTGGGCCATCCCTTAATAGGAATGCACATCCAAGCACAACTGCTCGGCTTCCAATCCAGCTTCCTGCTAATATGCCTAGCTCTTGGATTCAACAAATGCCCCAGCTGTTATGGGCATATAGGGAACTAAAACAGCCAATGGACAATCTCTGTCTCTGCCTTTTTTTAAAAGATTTATTTATTTATTTGAAAGTCAGAGTTACACAGAGAGAGGAGAGGCAGAGAGAGAGAGAGGTCCTCCGTCCGATGGTTCACTCCCCAGATGGCCACAACTGTCGGAGCTGCGCTGATCTGAAGCCAGGAGCCAGGAGCTTCTCCCAGGTCTCCCACGCCCATGCAGGGGCCCAAGGACTTGGGCCATCTTCTACTGCTTTCCCAGGCCACAGCAGAGAGCTGGATCAGAAGAGGAGCAACTGGGACTAGAACCAGTGCCCATATGGGATGCCGGCGCTTCAGGCCAGGGCGTCAACCCACTGAGCCACTGAGCCACAGCGCCGTCCCCTGCCTTTTTTTTTTTTTTTTTTTTAAGATTTATTTATTTTTATTTGAAAGAGTTACAGAGAGAGAGAGAGAGAGAGCACAAGGTCTTCCATCCACTGGTTCACTCCTCAAATGGCTGCAATGGCTGCGCCTATCCGAAGCCAGGAGCCAGGAGCTTCTTCCAGGTCTCCCGTGTGAGTGCAGGGGCCCAAGGACCCCTGGGCCATCCTCTACTGCTATCCCAGGCCACAGCAGAGAGCTGGATCGGAAGAAGAGCAGCCGGAACTAGAACCGGCACCCATATGGGATGCTGGTGCTTCAGGCCAGGGCATTAAGCTGAGGCGCCACAGCACCAGCCCCATCCTTTTTTTTGTTTGTTTTTCTAATAAATCTTTAAAAAATAAAAAAAGGCAATCCCACAAAGATCACTTACTATATGCCATGTATATAATATTCTTAAAATTACAACATTATAGAAATGATAAATAGATAATTGGTAACCAGAGTGGGGTGGTAGGGCAATGAAATGGCAGTTCCAGGATTGAAAGGTGATGCACCTGTTCTTTAGCAGCATATCAATAACCTAGTTGTGGCAGTGTGCATACTATAGTTCTATAAGTCATTGCCCTTGAGGGGAGTGGCTACACAGAAACTCCCTGTATATTTTTTTTTCAACTGTATGTGAATCTGTAATTATCTCAAAATTAATTTAAAAGATTCATTTTAATTTATTTGAAAGGCAGAGTTATAGAGAGGAACGGACAGAGAGACAGAGATCTTCCATGTCTTGGTTCACTCCCCAAATGGCCAGCAGCCAGGAATTCCCTCAGGGTTTCCCATGTGGGCCATCCGGCTGTACTTTCAAGAGCTGGATAGGAAGTGGAGCAGCTGGGACTGGAATGCGTGGGTGGGAAAGCTCACAGGCAGCAGATTAACCCGCTGCACCACAACACCAGCCCCAAAAGGTAAGTTTAATTTAAAACACTAAAATACTCTGAGAGTGGCGGGCATTTACACACTGAGTGTCTGGGTTCAGTACCCAGCTCTGGCTCCCAACTCCAGCTTCCTGCTGTTGCAGCCCTGGGAGGCAGCACTGATGGTTCAAGTAACTGGGTTCCTGCCACCCACATGGGAGACCTGGACTCAGTTCCCAGCTCTAGTTCTGGCCCAGCCCCAGCCATGGTGGGCATCTGGGGAGTGGGTTATCATATGGAGGTTCTCTTTCTCTGCCTATCCATCTCTCTGCCTCTCAAATAAACAAAGTTTTTAATATTCTCAGAAATCAAAATAGACATGTGCAGGAAGGGGACTACTTATGAGTGATTTCTAATAGCAAACTTTCTTTTATAATTTTTCCCCCAAGGTTGATTTTATTTTTTTAAAAGATTTACTTATTTATTTGGAAGTCAGAGTTACACAGAGAGAGGAGAGGCAGAGAGAGAGCGAGAGAGACGTCTTTCATCCTCTGGTTCACTCGCCAATTGGCCGCAACAGCTGTAGCTGCGCTAATTCGAAGCCAGGAGCCAGGAGCTTCTTCCAGGTCTCCCACATGGGTGCAGGGGCCCAAGGACTTGGGCCATCTTCCACTGCTTTCCCAGGCCATAGCAGAGAGCTGGATTGGAAGTGGAGCAGCCAGGTCTCAAACCGGCGCCCATATGGGATGCCGGCGCTTCAGGCCAGGGTGTTAACCCACTGCGCCACAGCACCGGCTCCAGTCTAATAGCAAACTTTTTTAAAGTCTACTGTTAGGGGCCAGCGTTGTGGCGCAGCAAGTTAAGCTGTCACCTGCAACACTGACATCCCTTATGAGCACTGGTTTGAGTTCAGGCTACTTCACTTCCCAACCAAACAGCTCCCTGCTAAGGCACCTGAAAGAGCAGCAGAAAATGGCCCAAGTCCTTGTGTCCCTGGACCCACATGGGAGATCCAGAAGTAGCTCCTGGCTCCTGGCTCCTGGCTTTGGCCTGGCCCAGCTCTAGTCTCTATGGCCACTTAGGGAACAAACTAACAGATTTCTCTCTCTCTCTCTCTCTCTCTCTCTCTCTCTCTCTAACTCTTTCAAATAAATAAGTCCTTAAAAAAATTTACTATTAGTAGGAAAGTCACTAAGTAAAAACACAACATCTACTAAATAATTAGAGATTTTAAAAAATTATCATAATGGCCTGAGATAGCAAACTAGAATATTAAGTTATAATTCTCTAAGTTTAAAAAATATATAGGGGCAGGTGTTTCATAGTAGTTAGGACACTGGTTGGGATGCCAGTGTCCCACGTGAGAATGTCTGGATTCAAGTCTCAGTTCCTCTCCTGATTCTAGCTTCACACTAGTGTAGACCCAGGAGGCAATAAGTGATGGCTCAAGTGACGGGGTCCCCATCACCCACATGGGAGACTTGGACTGAGTGCCCAGCCCCTGCTGTTGTGGGAACTTGGGGCGTAAACTAACTCTCCTTTTACTCTCTCTTTGCCTTTCATAAATTAAAAAAAAACTTTTTTCTAAATGAGTTTCTCCTTTCCTTTTGCTATACTGGAATTAATATTATGACCTTATTCATAGTCCTCTTGAGCTCATTTTTTTAAAAGAACTATTTATTTGAAAGGCAGAGTTAGACAGAGAGAGAGAGAGAGAGAGAGAGAGATCTTCCATCACCTCGTTCACTCCCCAAATGGCCACAACAGCTGGAACTGGACAGATCTGAAGCTAGGAGCCAGGAGCTTCTTCCGGGTCTCCCATGTGGGTGGCAGGGGCCCAAGGACTTGGGCCATCCTCCAGTGCCTTCCCAGGCCATAGCAGAGAGCTGGATTGGAAGTGGAGCAGCTGGGACTCGAACCAGAGCCCATATGGGATGCCAGCACTGCAGGCAGCAGCTTTACTGGCTATGCCACAGCGTTGGTCCCTAAAAACATTTTTTAAATACAAATCTGAGGGCAGTTATTGTGGCACAGTGGGTTAAGCTTCCACTTGGGACATTGCATCCCATATGAGAGGGCTTGGGCCATCCTCCACTGCACTCCCAGGCCACAGCAGAGAGCTGGCCTGGAAAAGGGGCAACCAGGACAGACTCTGGCGCCCTGACCGGGACTAGAACCCGGTGTGCCAGTGCCACAGGCAGAGAATTAGCCTAGTGAGCCACGGCACTGGCCTAAATACATATTTTTAAAATTAAAAACTTTGGGGCCAAGCTCTCTGCTGTGGCCAGGGAGTGCAGTGGAGGATGGCCCAAGTCCTTGGGCCCTGCACCCCATGGAAGACCAGGAGAAGCACCTGGCTCCTGCCTTCGGATAGGCGCAATGCGCCGGCCGCAGCACACCAGCCACGGCAGCCATTGGAGGGTGAACCAACGGCAAAAGGAAGACCTTTCTCTCTGTCTCTCACTGTCCACTCTGCCTGTCAAAAAAAAAAAAAAAAAAAACCACCTTTGGGGCCAGCATTGTGGCATAGTGGATAAATCCACTACCTACAATGCCAGCATCCCATATGAGCGTCATTTTGAGTCCCAGCTCCTACACTTTGGATCCAGCTCCCTGCTAATGCGCCTGGGAAAGCAGTAAAAGATGGTTCAAGTCCTTGGGCCCCTGCACCAATGTGGGAGACCCAGAAGAAGCTTCTGGCTCCTGGCCTCAGCTTGGCCAGGACCTGGTCATTGCGGCCACTTGGGGAGTGAACCAGTGATGGAAGATCTCTCTCTCTCTCTCTCTCTCTCTCTCTCTGATTCTGCCTTTCAAATAAACAAACATTTCTTTAAGATTTATTTTAAGGCCAGAGTTACAGAGAAAGAGGAGCTCCTTCCAGGACTTCCATGTGGATGCTGGGGACCAAACACTTGAGCCATCTTCTGCTGCTTTCCTAGGCACCTTAGCAGGGAGCTGGATGGGAAGTGGAGCAACCGGGTCTCAAACCAGCACCTATATGGGATGCTGGCATCACAGGCTAAGGTTTTACCTGCTACACCACAACACTGGCCTCATCAAATAAAGAAATCTTTTTAAAAAATAAAATAAAAATTTTATATACTAGAATTAGATTTATCCAAATAATGAAAATGTATTTTTTAAAAATCTAGGTAAGCCCAATATTATTTCTTTTTTTAAAAAAGATTTATTTATTTGGAGGCAGAAAGAGAGAGAAAAAGAGAGATCTTCCATCTGCTGTTTCACTCCTCAGATGGCTGCCACAGCTGGAGCTGTGCCGATCCGAAGCTAGGAGCCAGGAGCTCCCTCTGGGTCTCCCACGCGGGTGCAGGAGCTCAAGGACTTGGGCCATCTTCTACTGCTTTCCCAGGACATAGCAGAGAGCTGGATCAGAAGTGGAGCATCAGGGATTCAGACAACTCCCATTAAGGCTGCCGGCACTGCAGATGGCAGCTTTACTCGCTACACCATAGCACTAGCTCCGCTTAATATTATTTCAAAATTTTTAAAACATCAGGGCTGGCTGGTGCCGCGGCTCACTAGGCTAATCCTCCGCCTGTGGCACTGGCACCCCGGGGTTCTAGTCCTGGTTGGGGCGCCGGATTCTGTCCCGGTTGCTCCTCTTCCAGTCCAGCTCTCTGCTGTGGCCCAGGAGTGCAGCAGAGGATGGCCCAGGTCCTTGGGCCCTGCACCCGCATGGGAGACCAGGAGGAAGCACCTGGCTCCTGGCTTCAGATGGGTGCAGCGCACCGGCCGCAACACGCCAGCCGCAACGCACCAGCTGCAAGTGGCTGTAGCAGCCACTTGGGGGGTGAACCAATGGAAAAAGGAAGACCTTTCTCTCTGTGTCTCCCTCACTGTCTAACTCTGCCTGTCAATTAAAGAAAAACACACACACTCACACTAGTACTGGGGCTGTGGCGTAGCAGGTAAAGCTGCCATCTGCAGTGCCGGCATCCCATATGGGAGCTGGTTCATGTTCTGGTTGCTCCCCTTTCCATCCAGCTCTCTGGTATGGCCTGGGAAAGCAGTGGAAGATGGTCCAAGTCCTTGGGCCCCTGCACCAATGTGGGAGACCCAGAAGAAGCTTCTGGCTCCTGGCTTCAGATTGGCACACAGCTGGCCGTTGCAGCCATCCAGGGAGTGAACCAGCAGATGGAAGAACCCTCCCATCCCCCACCTCTGCCTCTCTGTAACTCTGCCTTTCAAACAAATCTTTTAAAAAACTAAAAGAAAAAAGAAAAACACCTACTACAACATATAGGACATGATAGGCACTTGATAAGTGACATCTATTTGAGGTTTCTAACTGTGAGATGGTATCATTGTTATATTTCAAAGCATGGCCCGCACTCAGCAAAGCAGGCATTATTTCAGAGAGGAGACAAGGGAATGAGGATGATTAAGCTTAGGAAAAAAAGAAAAGGAAACTAATGAATCGGTGTAATTTTCCAGAATGGATTTTACCAGTTACTTCTCTACCATCTAAGCAGTTGGGGGAAAGCTCTTTGAGATGGCCTTCCTAGGTAGCAAAAAGAACCCAGACTGATTCATCTGACCAGGAGGGCAGGAGAAGATACGGTCTGGAAATTAAGGAGGGTGTGATGACCACATCTCCAGGATGTCTCAGTACCAATCAGGTTCAATTGCAGGGCTGGGCTTTTGCTGCACTAAGGCAGAAAAGTAAGCAGTGAACTTGAAGGAATTTGGTAACCGGCCCTTCCCCCAACCCATTCAGTCCCCAATCAGGTCTACAGAGTCCCTTTGACTGATGCTCAGAACTTCAGTTTCTGGCGGTCCCACGATCCGGGAGTGCGCCCAGAGGAAGCCATGCCGTGGATCCGGAGCCCCTGCCACTGTCTCATTAAGAGCCCGATGACCAGGTTAGGCTGGGAAGGGTCAGAGTGCAGAGACCAAGGCAAGCACTTGGTCTGCTCACGTCAGTCCTTAGAGACTGCCCGGTTGGGGCACAGGAGAGAGTTGGATCTTACCACAGAAAACTGGCCCAGGATCTGAGTGTCCCACCTTGCAGGTGTGACTTCTGAGCAGGCACAAGCATCCCAGAGTATTCCTGTTGGGCCCAGGATACATCCACCTCTTTCTCTTGCCACCTCCCCACTACTCCTGCAACCACAGCCTGTTGGTGGTAACCCTGCTTCTTCATCACTACCCTGAAGCACTCTTAGGGGCTATTTTTACAGACGCCCTCCCCCCCAAGCCTGGCCTGGCTGAATCTAAGATCCTGTCTCTCCCGTCTAGGTTTATGGATCACTGTATTCTCAATGACAGAACCTTTAGTCTATACTGAAGACATGACCGCAGAAGGACAAGGTAGACTGCGCAAGGAGTGGAGTGTCAAGTGGGGAGAGTGGGTGGGGTGTCCCAATTCAGGTGGGGACTGGATGGGAGGGGTTTGAGAAATCAGAGTAAACAGATGGGACCAAAAGTTGCCTGGATGCCTGGGGGCAGTGGGAGGCAGGGTTATTCCAATACCCCAGACTGCAAGTGCGTGAGAGATTCTGCAGAAGCCAGATCTGGGGAGGAGAGGTTTGAGAGGGGCGAAGGCCCTGGAAAGACAACCACACAGATCCCTTGGACAGGAGGGTTGCCACCTCCGCCAGACTCTACCACTGCTGACCCAACCCAGGGCCCAGAACAGCTGCAGAGAACAGGGAATTTTACAAAGAATTTGATTTTATTGATATTTAAATATATTAAATATTTCACTGAAATACATGGTATGCCACCCTCCCCCAACCTCCCACAGTGGTTACATTGTAAAACCAAAGCCCACAGCCTCCCATCCCCCGACTCATCCTCCAGCATCGGCAGCCTGGGGGGAAGGGCACAGCTGGCATGGTGCTATGGGGAGTAGGGGGGCTAGGAGGTGGACAGGCCCCAGCCACCTGGCAAGCAGCAGAGACAGGCCACCCAGGACTGAGGTCTTCCCACTCTGGTTTGCTGACACTCACATGCCCACACCATGACACCAAGCATCCCCCTTCCTAGTCAGAGATACGGCTTGCAGAAGGGAAGTGGGTTTCCCATCTGGATCAGCTGCCTTGGCTAATGAAGCGCCTAATGGCCCACTTGGTTAATGCGTGAGAAACGCCCAAGGCAGGCAGTACCGAGCCAGAGACAGGCTTCTGCAGGGAGCTGGTATCAGAAGAGTATTGAGGGGAGGGTAAGAGCGCCCTCTGCTCCCCGAACCCTGCAACTCTAGGGTTTATTCTCTTCTCTCTTTAGTCTCTTTGTGCAGAATCCACGCTATTGCCTCTGGCTTAACTAGGTATAGGCAGAGAAGCCAAGGCACCAGCTAATTCAGGCCAGAGTCAAGGCGATTACAGGGAAAGGAGTGAGACAGGATAGGAAGAGAAGCTGGAGTCCAACTTACTAACCCTCTTCCATCCCTCACAGGCTTCATGGGGCTGGGGAGGCAGGAGCAGGCTAGACCCAGGCAAAGGCCTAGTGTAAGATTCCCCTGCCCCACCCCTTAGTACCAGTAGCTGGGTCCTCAGAGGGACCCCAGACTTACCCTCATCTTAAAGCATACCACATCCCAGGACACAAGCTGGGGAACCCAAGAAGATTCCTGCAAAGCCTGCCCAACAAACCCTAAACAGGCAAAGTGCCCAGGGCACTGAGGCTCAGGCAGGCACCTGTGTCCCTGCCCTAGGCAGGGAGACAGTCATGCTGCACACGTGGCCCCCAAATGGCACTTAGGGATTTGGCACAAAAAATAAAAGACTTCTCTCCCAGGCCACCCTCCTTCTGCTCCCACTCCTGTGCAAATCTGGGCACCTCTCTACAGCCCTGGAAAGAGGAAACCCTGCCTTATTCCCAGAAGACAGAGGCCCACAGGAGAGAGGCCAACTCGGACTGGAGAGCTGAGGAGCAGGAGCCAAGGACACACACAGACCTGGAAGACAGAATTACACACAAAGAGCAACACACACAAACACACACACACACACAGGCCCTCCCCAGTGCCAGAGGAGTTGGAAAGATGGGTGTGAGACCAGGGTCATCTTCCTCCAAGCCCTGACCCTCTTCTATTTGGCAAATGAAGGGGCAAGAGACACTCATGCCCCCTTTCCAGCAGACAACAAGCAAGCACTGGGGCCCAGTGACCTGATCTTGACCCCACTGGGGTCTCTGATCAGCATCTGGCAATACCCCATCCCAGGCTACCTGCTCTCTTTGGCACCTGCAGGTGAACCTCTAACTCCTGACATCCCCACGCACAGGCCTGCTCTCTGGTTGGGCGTTTTCACAGTACCAGTGAGGCCAGACACTGCTTTTCCCCAGAGCACACAAGAACTGGGGCTAAATCTGAGCTGTCAGAGGTCCCTTTGTTCCCCTTTGGGGACAGATCTTGGGACTAGGATTTGGCAAATGGAAACATTCCCCGGAAACGTGGACAGAGCTGGGCCCCTAGAGCCATCTCCCTCCTGTGCCCTGGCTGCAGCAGGGGCATACCCAGGACCAATGTCAGGAACACAGGCATACCACAGGCAAGCGTGGAATAGGCACTTTTCATGCCTGCCCCAGTCTTTGTACGAAATATTCCCAGGGAAAAGAGAGACAAGGAAGGGCCCAGCCCTGAGCCTGTTTGCCCAGGCAGACAAAGGGTAGGCATGGCAAGCTGCCATTGTGATCTCTTGGGCAGGAGTGCTGCTCCTGCCTCCACAGCTGGGAGAGGAGAGGGAACAGCCCTACCCCAATTAAAAAGAAAGCCACTTGCATGATCCTCTTGTTATCCACTTGTGCGCCAGCCCCAAGGCAGACAAGTGTGGCCCAAGTCCAGCCTGCCTGGGGAGCACCCTTTGACAGTCAGCAGGGTCTGGAGGCTCAGCGCTACCCCACCCCACCCCCACAGCTCCTCCCAGCGAGCACAGAGTCCACTCAATGCCCACCTTGGTCCCGTCAGCTGCATTGGTAGCTGGGCCCCGCTAACTGCTAGGGCCCCCATTGAGGAAGTAGGTGGTCATCTCCCCTTTGCCCTTCACCTTGACCACCCCTCGACACTCCAGCTGGTAGCCCTTGGCAGCTAGAACCTGGTACAGGTCCGTGGTCACCTGGGGGGAGGGGGAGGGGAGGCCACTTAGCCCGGAATCCTTCCTGGTGCACTCGCAGGGGCCCAGGGCTCTCTGAGCCAGGCTAGATCCCTGCCCACCAACCACAAAACACTGCCATCCCTACCCCGTCTCAGTGGACCACACAGAGAGAACTGTGGAAACCCTCTGGACTCATGTCCCTCCCAGCTTCCACTGAACATCCCCCTCACCTGGATTCGGTCAGGGACCCCTGTGCTGTCCATACGGCTAGAGACATTCACCGTGTTCCCCCAGATGTCATACTGCGGCTTCCGGGCCCCAATGACACCGGCCACAACTGGGCCCATGTTCAGCCCTGAGGTGGGGAGAACAGCAAGAGATTTAAACTAGTAGGATGCTCCAGGATCAGCCCAGTGGGCATCCCACTTCAGGGGACCTTTAGAAGGACCCCAAGGAAAACAAGTGGAAAGGGGGTGAGCCTTCTGGTCATGAGCCTACAGGTCCTAGCAGGTCAGCCAGTGGCAGAGCCCCCCGGGGCAAGACAGCCACCGCCACCCCAGGAGCTGGTCTTACCCGCGATGCTCCCTCTGCCAACCACACGAGCATTTTACACAGCTTCATCCTCTCAACACCTCTGAACAGTCATCCCCATTTCACAGATGAAGTTCAGGGATGGTAGGTGACTCACTCAATAAGCCAGTAGAGGTGGAGTAGCCAGAATTCAAACCAGACGGCCTGATCCCAGAACCTAAGCTGTGAACCACTGCCAGCCACCAGTCCATCTAGGAGGAGAGTGGCCACAGACAAGGACCAAGGTAATGGAGTTCAGATAAGCCCAGTTTTAAATCCCAGTTCAGCCTCTCCCTACCTCGGTCTAATTATTTAATTCTCTCTAGAATTAACCTCTTTATCTGGAAAAGGGGTTAATAACATGAGGATTAAGATATGCGCCAAGATGTTTAGCACATAGTAGGCCCTCAAGAAATGACCTCAGTAAGCCCTTAGTATGAGACTTGATACAGGAGGTGGGATGGAAGGAAACCCGCCCAGGAGCCCTGCCGGGAAACACCTGCCAAGTGGCCAGGCTCTCCTCTCTCACCGATCTTCATCTGGAAGTTGTTGAAGGAGTGCTCATTGATGTGCTTCATCTGCTCCATGAGCCGCATGGCGTAGTCAGCCAGGGCGGTGACGTGGGAGCGGCCCACCTGGTCATAGGTGCTGGCATTCAGCCCCGAGGCAGCCATGTAGGTGCTGCCTATAGTCTTGATCTTCTCCAGCTGCCGGAACTGCTCCTCGCTGATGATCTAGACAAACGCAGGGGGGCCTGGCTGTCAAGGCAGAGCCCAAAGCCCAACCCACCCCAACGCGCATGCCCGGCCCATGCCTTGGTTCCTACTCTTGTTTCAATGAACACCCCTCCTTCTGGTGAGTGAACCCCGACCAGGCACAGCTGCAGGAGATCAGCCTCAATGGCTCACTCCTGAACAGAATTTCAGGGGAGAAGCTAAGAATCAATTACTCCAGCCCCTCACTCTCTGGGAATCAGGGTCCCAGGATGAGGCAGCTGATATCCCACCTGAACAGCAGAGGGCCCAGCTCTGGCCAGGACGTTCAGGACAAATTCTCACATTTTGCTTGCTCGGTCTCAAGGGGCTCTACCCTCTTGCCTGCCTTCTTCAATGACATCCACTGGTCCCTATCCTGACCTGGCCCCCTCCCAGAGATCCTCACGTCCTCCCTCTGTTCCCCACTGGGAGCTGGGGCTGGCCCCTTGCTGCCTCGGACACCTTCATGGGTCCCTGTCCCCGCCTCCTCAATCCCTACACTCACCCCCAGTGCTGACAGCTCTCAGTCCCGTTAAAGCTCCCTTTCTCCTGCTAGCACCCCAACCTGACTCCAATCCTGACTTTCTCATCCAAAGTTCTCTCTCCTCTCCTGGTCCCCAAATCCCTCCACTCTCCCGGCACTGGCCAACAGGACAAACACCTCGTCAAAGTCAGCGATGATCTCGTTGAGCAGCCGCAGGCACTCGACGCCCTCATTGTTGGCCTCCAGCTCCACGTAGAACTCAGAGAAGTTGGCGATGGAGGCAAACATCACGGCCACACACTCACACGACTGGTAGTAGAGCTCATCATTCCGGCGCTCCCTGGCCAGGAAGTGGGCAGCCACATCCTTGGGGAGAATGTTATGCAGCAGCCGCCGGTTGTACGCCTGGAGCTCCTCCATCTCCTCCTTCTCCCCTGTTGCCTGTAGACACCACACCCATCACCCACTGCCCGTCACTCACAGGGTGGGTGCAGAGACCAGCGCCTGGGATGGACATCAGAGGGAATGGCATGGAGGAAGAAGGGTACGGACGGGTTTGGCCTGAGGAACAGGCAAAGGGATAGAGGGGGCAGGTACAGGATGAGGCAGGGGAAGGAGGTGGGAGCAGAGAAGGCACAGAACCAATGTGGATTCAGGGTGCCTGGGCTAGCAAGAGATGCGTTTATGGCTCGGCAGAGATTCTGCCCTGCTCCCGGAGGCCCACCCAGTCACCTGCAGTTTCCAGAGGAAGTCCAGACGAGCTGTAGACTCCACCTGCTGGGCATGCAGATACAGTGCCAGCGCAAACACCAGCAGGATCACAGGGGTCATGTATTTGAGGGCCACCCTCCCTGCAGCTGGGCTGAGGGTGAGCAGAGATGTGCTTGGTGTCTGAAGGAGGCATCCGGCAGCCCTACCCTTCGCTGCCTCAGAGCCCTCACTTACCAGTCCAGCCCATCCAAGGTCTCATTAGAAGAAGCCCTGGCAGGAAGGCAGAAGAGACAAAGTTACTGGTGGTTGCTGGGGGCAGCAGAAGGGGGAAGACAGGGACATGGAAGGGGAGACCGAGAATGCATTACTGGGCACATGCCAGTAAGTCAGCTTTGGGCCAGGGTTTTTACTAATATTAACTAAGAGCAGCGATTAGGAAAATCTCTGCTCTTGGTTCCTCTCTAAGCCTCTGCCCCCTCATCATTAAAACAGGAAAGAGATCTAACAACACATGTGAAAGGCTTGGCCCACAGATGTACCAAGCAAATGTGAGAAGCAATTTTTTTAAGGTCTATCATAAAGATACAGGGATTTCCCAGGCCTGGGACTTTCTTGGGGCAGCTATTTGAGGTCATATGTCAGGAGCTCCTCCATCATCATTTCCCTCTCTCCCAGCAGTGAATTGTGGCACTCCAGGGACACCAGGGAGGCTCACCAGGGACCCAGAGGGTCAAAGAGCTTCCTGGGTCGGGGGAGGGGGGCATTCAAGGGACTGAGAATCAACTCACAAGCCATGGACGCTAAGCAGCAGGTCATAGTTGTCAAAGATGGTGGCTGGGGGACCCAGAAGAAGCAGCACCAGATAGATGAGCCCCAAGACTAAGATCATGGCCAGCTTCCCGATGCTGCTGATGTGCAGGAAGACAGAGCTGGCCAGGAGACTCAGCAGCATGTTCCCAACGAAGTACTGGGGACAACATCACAGGCAGCACTGGGTGAGGGCAGAGGCCATGGGAGAGCCTTCCACCTCCATGCCCAGCCCTATACCACACCAGGACCCCTAGCTGCTCATAGACATGGAGACTCTGGTGAACTCCTGTGTCCCCGGGGTCCATCCACAGGACTGGCCTAGATGGCCCTATAACTGTGCCAAGATCACCCTCTCCCACCCCATCGCTGCCTGAGCACTGCTCAGATACCTCAGGGAAGCTGCAGGGGGGTGTGGTGCCCTCACACAGGGGCGCATCCAGGTCCAGAGAGTAATTGAGCTGCTGCAGGTGGCAAGCAGTAACGTCGGAGGGAGTTAAATTCAGCATCTGGGCCACGCACATCCGTATGGGGGTGTGGCTGCAGTTGAACTGTAAAAGTGACGAGGATATCAGGGTAACTAGGGAGGGGAAAGGGCTGCAAGGGCCATGCCCAGGTGCCTGACACCCCAGAGGCCAAAGTTCTCACTCAGGGATGACAAGAGGAGGGGAGCAGGGGCAGCCCCACCCACCCCACCCTCGGAAGAGCAGGCAGTAAAGGTGCTACACAGAGAGTTCCCACGGGATCCTCACCATGTTGGCGATGGCGGAGGTAAACACAAGCAAGACTGAAAAGATGCCAACTGCTGTGCTGTGTGCCCGCGAGCGGACAATGCCGCGAGACAGGCGCTGCAGCACCCTGGGGAACCGCTGGAGGCAGCAAGAGAGGGAGATGTGGCGGCCGCTCAGCCAGGGAAGAGGGCCAGCCAGGCACGGGACCCAGCAGGAGAGGCATGGCCACCGCCTGCCTGCCTCCCTATGCAACTCCTCCCAGCCCTCCTCCCTCCCCACACAGCCCTGGGAGTCTCCACTACGTACAGAACCACAGGAGTACACGGCACAGGTGAGCACAGTGACCAGCAGGAACAGGAAGATACCGGCATAGATCCCGAGCATCAGGGTTGAACTGGGGCAGAACAGGGCCGGGGGCAACTTGACCCTGGGAGGTCAAGAGCATCCTTGTCCCACCCCCCGGAACAGGTTGGGGGGTAGCCTCAGGGACAGTGGGTGTACATGGGTAGGTTTAGGACAGTTCAGGGAGGCAGGGGAGGAGCAGGGAGCCCAGTGAGGAGGGGCAGGGATCTCACTGGGGGAAGACGAGGAGCTGGATGAAGCAAATGAAGCAGAAGACGAGCAGGGCACAGGCGACGTAGGCTCCAAAGCGGGGGTCCACCTTCCGCGAGTACTAAGGGAGAGGAGGCTGAGCTGGGTACGGGGCCCTGCCTTGGTGGAGGCAGGGATGACCAGGGGCCCCAAGGGGAGCAGATTCAGTCGTCCTGCCCTGCTCTGTGGAACCCTCCCCATTCCCCAGAAGTCCCTCCAGCTCCCTCCCTCCTCTCTCCTCCCCTTTTCCTTCTGCCCTGGAATTCTCCAAACCTTCTTCTCTAGATCCTCTCTCTGGAAGGTGAGCAGGAACCGGCGCACGTGGTCCTTGCGCAGCTGATCGATGCTGCGGGCATCGATGGCACGGCCCAGGAATTCATCTACCTCATCCTCAGGGTTCAGAGCATCCTGGGCACCCCGGCTGAGGGCAGGGGACGTGGCTTCACCGGGTGCCCACAGGAGAAGCAATGGGAAGGGAGGGGTGTGTGGCTCCTGCTCCCTACAGTACCATCCCAGGGAGCTGGGACCTCTCCACTCCAGGTCCCCCTTCCTCAATGACCCAACTTACTTGTCTTTGCTGGAATCATCAATGCCCTGGAGAAAAGGCACACGGTACATGAACGAGGTGAAGGACCAACCACCCTCACCTCTACAATCCCTTCCCTCGCCCCCAACACAAGCCAAAGGGTGCTCACTGTAGACTTTGGGGTACTTGGAACCCCTGGGAGGAAACCACAGCTCCCACCCCCAGTACCGGACAGCACACGCACACACATGCGCGCGCACACACACACACACACACACACGCAGTGCTGAGGGAGACAGAGGTGGGGCCCCAGGCACTCACCATCTGGCGGAAGGCCTTGGAATCCTTGGTGCGGGAGAAAGTGCGGTCAGGCACCCAGCGTGGCATCAGACCCTCCATGGAATTGGCCCGCGTCCGCTGTAGCTTAGCCAGCATGGCCTTTTCCTCTTTCTGTGGCCAAGGAGAACGCCAGCTCACAAAAGGGACCCACAGAGGCCTTGAAGGAGCCTGCACCTGCCCGCCCCCAGCCCCCCGCAGCCCTGCCCTGGCCCTCACCCGTTTCTGGCTGGCACCCAGGATGAGGAAGGTCTCTATGTGCTGCTCCTTGAGGTATGCATTGCGCTCACCACCACGGCCAGGCTCCACCTCGTAGTCCCCGTTCAGGTACTGCAGTGTGGCCCGAGTGATGTGGATGCGGCTGGGGGGTGGTGGCGGGAGGGTGAGACTCAGTTCTCTTCTCCCTGGCTCCCATTCCCCACTGCCTGAACCCCTCCACTCACCCGGCCCGGCCCCCGGCCTCCATGTGGTTGGCCAGGGTCACGTCGTTGGACCACACATCGAACTGCCACTTCCGCAGGCCAAGGACACCGCAGTGCACACGACCACTGTGGATACCCACGCGCATGTTCACATTCACACCTGTCACCTCACGCACTAGCCTGGGGGGACACAGCTCCAGATCAGTGTCTGGCACAGCTCTCCCTTCCCCCCACCCCCCCAGCCCAGAGCCCGGTACACAAGGACAGACCCCAATACAGGGGACAAGAGCACAGCTTGGGCTGGACATGGGCGACGTGGGGCTCAAAGGACATGCTTGAGAACTCTGTTCAGCAGCAAAGGCCTTGCGGTATCTTGTGGGGCTAAGTTAGGAGAGGAGGACTCACTGTTCTCACCTCTGGCCCCATTCCCCACTGCCCCTGGGCTCCCCACACCCCAGTCCAGGCTGGCTGGAGTCTAAAGCTGCACAACGGGTCTTTGCACAGGCTGGAGAAAGATCCACTTCCCTCCTCAACGACAGAGAAAGCTCAAAGATGAAGAGCCAAGACCAAGGAAAACTCCTAAAAGCACACACGGAGAAGTAGGAGCAATGTGGGGCACCCACAGTTCTAGGAAGCCCAGGAATGGGGCACTGCTTACGAGATGGCCTCGATCATGTCCACCCCCATCTCCACACAGCAGTGGGCATGGTCTGCCCGGGCCTCTGGCAGCCCTGACACACAGTAGTAACAGTCCCCTAAGATCTTGATCCTCAGGCAGTGATTCTCCTAAAGGGGCAAGAGTTGGAGGGAAGGGTCACCTTGACTCTCTTGCCCACCACCCTCACCTGAAGACTTTCTCTGCCCCCGCGCTCCCAGCTGCTGCCAGCAAAGCTGTGCTCTTTCACCACAGTCAGCACTGCCCCCAAGCCCCAGCACCCTCACCGCGGCCAGTTTGTCAAACCGGGCAAAGAGCTCATTCAAAGTCATGACCAGCTCCTGTGCGGTGCACTGGGAGGCCAGGCTGGTAAAGCCCTCGATGTCGGCAAACAGGATGCTGTGGGTGACAGCAGAGGACACACGTGGGTCCCGGCGCCCTCAGAGGCTCCCCAGGTCTCCCCCACTCCACCCCCGCCGCCTCCTCCTGGCAGGCTCCCACTCCCACCCTACCTGACATTGTCATGCTTCTGGATGTAGATCTTGTGGAACATCATGTCTTCCTTTTTTGTGTTAATGTCTTCTTTCATCTCCATGGCAACATGCTGGGGCAACACGGACAGCAGCAGCCGCTCCTAGAGCAGTGATTGCAATAGGGTTCCACTCTCCTCCTGGCCTCACATGTCCATGTCCATGTCCTTCCCTCCTGGTCCCTCCTCATCCCCGGAGCCCTCCCAGGACTCTCTGAAGAGTGGAGCCTCCATTCTGGACCGCAGCCTCACTAACCCCACCAGGACAATTGGCACACAGATATCTCAGCCCTTTCTGACCACCCCTAATGCCGTCTTCCCAAGTGCTCCTGTCTACCCATTCCCCACTCTCAGAAAGGACAGAACCCTGATTGTCACAGGGCCTCTGAGACACACAGACCAGAGGAACCCTTCCCACACTGTGAACCACAGCAGCAGATCCAACCTGAGAACCACCTGGGGATCACGAGGGGGAAGGCCCCCTGGCCAGGGAAAGTGGCCCCCACCTGCTGCCGGTTCTCGTGCTGCAGGTGCAGCCGGGCCTGGATGTAACCACGGGTCTCCTGAAAAGCCTGGCGCTGAGACACCTCGGCTGGGTAGTGTGTGCAGATACCAATGAGGTTGGTGCAGAGGAACAGCAGCACGTTGGCACCAAGCTGCAGGAGGGCGGCAGAGGCAGATGAGTGACCATTCCTTCCTCCCTGCCCCCAACACTCACGGCCGCAGACACTCAGGCTGGGGTCCCTGGGCTCTCTCTGGACCTGCTCCTTTCGGGAACGAAGTCTGACTCCTATATAACCCGTCTGTCCCCACTGCTGCAATACATCTCCCAGCCCTCGGCCTGGATCACTCTGTAGCCACTAAGACGATCTAATCACTGCTAGGGCCAGGTAGATCATGGGGCCTGCCCCACTACCCTATAACCACCTCCCCTCTAACCACCCAAAGAAAAGAAAAATGCTGCTGCTGCTGCTGCTGCTTGCATGTGGTTCTCCTGTAGGACAGCACCCAGAAGACCAGAGCTCTATGTCCCTCTGTGAGTGACCCGGGACAAGCCACCTCCTCTCTCTAGGCCTCTGCTTGCTTATTTATAACCCAAAGAGGGGGAACAGAAGATCTCTGATGTTCCTCCCTGCCCTGACATAATAACAGTAATTACATTATGATGATTATGATTAGCGGTTACTTTGTTGGCTGTCTACAATGTGCCTGGATTCTATGGGTTTCTTCTATACTCTTTCTTTCAGCTGTGACAGAAGGGGGAGGGACTCAGGCATAGAGGAGCTCAAGGTCGCACAGTTGGTAGTGGCCGGCTTGAGACTTGAGTCCAGGACAGTGGGACCCCAAAGCTTGTGCCCTAATACTACCGTCTAGTGCATTCCGGGTTTCCAAGAGTCCTTCCTCCATTGACTCAAGATTTGGGATCCAGCAATTCTAGGAATACAAAGACCCCTCCCTAACCAGGGATGGGGTGTCACAGTGCCTGGCCACCTCATTGCCCCCGTCCCCAGGGATAACTCTTGACAGTTGGCCTGCCAAGACCCCATGCTCAGGACTCCCCCACCTTAGGGATATGCAGCCCCCAGTCACCACTGGTGCACTGGCTGGGGAGCCGATCTAAGGGGAGCTGGCCGGCTTCAGTGTTCTGGAAACTCAGGGGTTAGCCTGGCATTTGCGGCTCCAGGTCAGAGTTGCATGGGGCAAGGCTCTGGTTCAGGGAGCCGGGAGGGAAGGAGTACAACTGGAAGCCAGGTGTTCCGGGCACTGCCCTGCACTAGAACCAGTCCCACAGATGTGGGCAGGCCACTTGAGCTCTGGAGCCTCATTTTCCCCTTGGGGAGGACCTTTCCCCCTGGGTCCTTCTCACTCTGGCCCTAAGGACTGGCCTCCCACCTTCCCTTCCTAGTTCAGCTCCCAGGGCCCTGGGTGCCTGTGCACTGAGCTCCACCTCCCAGCAGCAGGGGTGAAGTGGGGGTGCACTATCTCCCCTGGGGGTTTCTAAGAATAGCCCCCAGTGGGGGAGAAGGAAAGGGGGGGCAAACCAGGCAACTTCCCTTCCTGGCCCCAGGAGCCCAAGAGGAAAATGTGAGTCACAGTGGAGGGAAGGGGAAGGGGGATGAGGGACTGAAATAACTCTGCACACACATCCTTATCCAGCTATGAGGAAAAAATGGATGCCAGGGCCTGAAGGAGGCTCCGGGCTGGCCTGGGTCACTGGGTGAAACTGCTCAATGCATCTGAATGGGTGAGCCAGGCAGGAGGCTCCTGGGAGCGGGAACAGGAGCAGGGCTGGGGTTGGAAGGGCTGCCCGTGAAGGCCACCAGCGCCCTGCAGGAACCCACAGGCCCAAATGGGCACAAGAATTGTTCTGCGATCAGAGGAGGCCCCAAGGACTGGCACAGGGGCAGCAGCGACTGTCTCCATCACCCCAGAACGTGCCTGCCTAGACCCACTGGGTGAGGCGACAGCCGGGCACCCCAAGGAGGCAGGAGACTGGCACACTCCTGGCCTCCCCCGTCGGATACAGGGCCCGGCTCTGGGCATCACGCCAGCCAAGAGCAGGGCAAAGATGCCCACCCACCCCCTGGTGAGCTGCAGAGGAAGGCGGAAGGGTGGCAGCACCTTTACTAAGCTCCTCTTCCCCAGGAGAGCGGTCCAGCCCCCAAGCCCAACCTGAGAACCAACCTGGAAAAGCAAGGTAGGAAAAAAAAAAAAGCAAGGGCAGAAGGACCTGGCCCTTCCAGAGCTCCCATAGTGCCCTGTGGGCACGTGCTCTACAAACAAACGGGCTATAAAGTTACTTTTAAAAAGGTACATACCGTTCCGGAGCCCAGGCTGGGTGGGGAAGGGCATCATGCCAGAGCACCCAACTTCTCACTCAGGGAGCCCAGAGCAACTTCCTCCCTGGGGGTGGGGCCAGGGTGGGCTACAGGCCACCAGCCCTTGGCAAGGCAGAGGCCAGGCCCTCCAACCTTGAGCGAGACGGAGGAGGGTGCTTCCTGGACCGGGTGCCAGCGAGGGCCTCGTGAGGTGTGCCACCTGTGGGGCTGTGCCTGCAGCCTGGTGGCTGCTCCCTGGGCAGGGGGTGAGGTGACATGGCGGATTCCACCCACATCTCTGAAAGGTGCCTTCCCAGCAGCCCCTTGGCTGGGCATCACCTCTGCAGCCCCTCCCCAACCTGCCTGCCCCTAGGTGGGGCCCTGCTCTGCTTCACCCTGGGGACAGGTAGGCTCTCATAGCAGCATCCTAAGGTGGCTGCTGTTTTTCATCCAGTTTTGCAGACTGGGAAGAGCCTGAGGCCTGGAGAGGAGAGACAGGCTGTCTAAGATCACAAGGAAGAATGCAGCCCACTGGACAGCCTGGGGTCCCCACGGCCATCCTCATCTCCACGAAGAACTCACAGGCAGCAGCCAGCGGGGCAGAGGGCTGGCAGCATGAGGTGGTGGGGTGAGATCTAGCCGTGCACCCCCTCTCTTGTAAGGTTCATGCCCTATCAAGTCACTCCCAGGGAGCAGAATGGATCCCAGCTCGTCACCTCCCCTGACCTCTCAGAACCAGCTCTGCTCCTACAGACACGTGACTCCTCCTCCCCCAGCCAATGCCAGCCAAAACCTGCTCAGTCCCTCTCTGGGGAAACACCACCAAGAACTGACACTTAGGGGTCCCCTTGGGGGCAAGGGATACCAAAGCCTGGACACAACTGCACTGCTTCCACATCCCTATTTGCAGCCCTCCACCCCCGACTCCCCACCCCCCACTATGGGCTGCACCACTGCGGTGGGCACAGGCCACTGGGACCCACAGTGCCAGAGTACAAGCTTGGGCCCTGGGGCCTTGCCCTCTGCCCCAGATCCCAGTGGAGGCTGACCCCCGAAACCTGGCCTCCTGCCTCAAGCCCCTCCTCCCAGATGGAGCCACATGTCTCCATACCCAGCATCCGCCCACGACTGGACCCCACCACCCCTCCCTACCACCACGGCCCCTTCCGATTCCCAGCCTGGTGCCCTCTACACCCACCTGCTTCCAAAGCAAGGCATCGCCACGGTTGAGTTGCCAAGCTAAGATCAAATGCAGAGTGGAAAGGCCAAGGCCGCTGAGAACGGCAGCCCGCATTCGGATGGGCAGGAGGGTGTAGGTGATGTAGACGAAGAACATGGGGCACCAGAGGCCCGCAGACGGGCTGTGCGGGTCGGCTGCCAGGGCGCCCCCGACCTGCACGGCAGCCAGGATGCCCAGCACCACGTAGCTCACCACCCACATGGAGTCCTGGCGGAAGCTATGCCGATTACACACCACCATGAGCGCTACGAACAGGGTGGCGGCCCCAGCCAACAGGGCCACGTAGGCAGGCTGAGGGCTGCCAGGCACAGCGTGGAAAGCCAGCAGCACAGCCATGAGCAGCACCAGCACCGCCATCAGCAGCGTGAGGCTGCTCTGGTTCATCTGGAAGAAGTAGCGCTGGTATAGGCGCTCCAGCTTGGCCGAGCGGAACTGCTTGGACTGGAACACCTGCGCCAGGCGGCGCCAGCACGATCGCCCGCGCCGCGGTGCCACCTCAGTCACCCCCGTCGCTGCCGTCAGCTCCGCGTCCTCGAAGCCCAGGGCCACTGCCCGCAGCCCCAGCTCCACGCCCTTCCCCGGGCCCGGGCCCCCCCTGCGGATGAAGGCCTCATCCTGCCAGGGGCACCTCCGGGGAGCGGCTGGGGTAGGGCTGGGTGGCTCTGCATCCTGGAGGCAGCTCATATAGCGAGGTGCGCAGAAGCCGGCGGCCCGAGTCCCACGGCGCAGGCGCTGCTGCCCATTGCGTTCGCCCCAGGCTGTTTTCCGCTCATCCACTTTGGGAACCAGGAGACCGCTAAACCAGGACATGCTATTGGGAGAAGAAGGGGAGATGGTATTAGCAGCACCACCACCCAAGCGCTTCCCACGGCCCAGCTAAGCTCTCCAGCCAATACACCATCCTCACAAAATCACTCCAGGTTGCACAGTGGCACCCCAAGTCAACAGGGAAGGAAGCCGAGACGTAAGGAGGTGACCCAAGGCTGGGGAGCCACGTAAGTGGGAAAACCAGGATGTGCCAGGTTTGTCTGACTCCAGCAAGAGTACACTTAAAAAGTCACCTCGGGCCGGTGCTGTGGCATAGTGGGTAAGGCTGCCACCTGCAGTGCCGGCATCCTATATGGGTGCCAGTTCAAGTCTTGGCTGCTCCACTTCTGATCCAGCTCTCTGCTATGGCCTGGGAAAGCAGTAGAAGATGGCCCAAGTCCTTGGGCCCCTGCACCCGCGCGGGAGACTTGGAAGAAGCTCCTGGCTCCTGGCTTTGGATGGGTGCAGCTCCGGCCGTTGTGGCCAACTGGGGAGTGAACCAGCGGATGGAAGACTTTCTCTCTCTCCTCCTTCTCTCTCTGTGTAACTCTTTCAAATAAATAAAATAAAACTTAAAAAAAAAAGTCACCTCACTGTGTCAAAGAGACAGATATGGTTCAGGAAAACTAGGTTGTCCCACCCCTAGTATGGGACAACCACCACCTAGCACCAGGTGTCCCAGTGGGGCTGGAGCTTCTGACTGTTTGACAGAAGCTAAAGAAAAAAAACATCTGTAGTTCAAGGCATCATCAGCCTATTTTGAAATGCTGGTACCTAAGCCACATTTTCAACGTGAGTGACATCTACAGAATGAGTTCTGCCTGTGAGGTCCCAATCACTTCCTTCCTTCACACTCATTCTCACCAAGCGAAACTCAGCTTTTCCCACCGGCCTCTTAGATCTGACTTCCTTTGGGAGGTTTCCCAGCTCGGTCCCATGGATCCTCTGCACATCCTTTTATTGCCATTGCAAGCACACCAGCCCACAGCTGTGAATGTCTCTGCCCCCTGATCAGCAGCTGCCTGATTCAGGGGTACCCTACCTGAGGGCAGGGACACAGCTATTCTTTAGGGCCCCCATGGCCAGTGCCAATCACTGGCCCTGGTTCACAGCTGGAACACTACACACTGAAAAGCTAGAATGCGAACAAGCCCAAGGACCCAGACGTGGAGCGGAGGACACATAATAGTAACTGTCAGTCCCGCAATTTTTCATCTTCTCCACTGCACCAGTCACAGCAGCCCACACACCAAGCCCAGGCCAGCCTGGGACCCTGGCACTTGCCACTCCCTGTGTGCAGCAGCTCTGCAAGTCACAGCCCTTGAGTTTCCTTATCAGTGGGACTTTCACTGAGCGCCACATTAAAATAGCAAACCCTTTCTCAGGGGCTGCCTGTCTCTCTTCCCCGCTTTATCCTTTCCTTTTCTCCATAGCGTTTACCAGCACCTGCCACCCTGTATCTTTTTCTGACTTGTTCATCTCTCCTAACCGCAGTATCAACTCCCGAAGACAAGAATTTTGACCTGTTTTGCTGACCGCTATATTCACAACACCCACGAGGATCCGGACAGATGTTCGCTGAGTGGCTGCAAGCCTGTTTGCATGGATGGATTACACTCGCCCCCATGTGCTGCCTCTGGTTTAAAACTTTTCAAGGTCTTTCACAGGACAATCCCATTTGCTCTTCGGCAAAACCCTGTAAAGCTAGTTCTGTGGACACTAGCAACACAGGGCAGATTGGACAGGGAAAAAAAAGGGGGGGGCCAGCATTTGGCATAGCTCCTAAGTCTTGGGGCGATGGCACTGTGGCACAGTAGGTTAAAATACCTGTATCCCAAGTACGAGGGGCCAGTCTAGCCTCCTTCCGATCCAGCTCTCTGTGAATGCATCCTGAGGGTCTAGATGATGGCTCAAGTCCATTGCCACCCACATGGTTCCTAGCTTCAGCCTGGCCCAGCCCCAGCTGTTGAGTGAACCAGCAGGTAGAAGACATTTCTCTCTCTCTCTCTTTTTTTCTCTCTCTCTCCTTCTCTCCGTCTCCAGCTTTCAAATAACTAAAAATGAGTAATGAGACCAGCGCTGTGGAATAGCGGGTAAAGCCACCGCCTACAGAGGTGGCATCCCATATGGGCTCCGGTTCAAGTCCCAGGTGCTCCACTTCTGATCCAGCTCTCTGCTACGGCCTGGGAAAGCAGTGGGTGATGACCCAAGTCCTTGGGCCCCTGCACCCGTGTGGGAGAACCAGAAGAAGCTCCTGGCTTCTGGCTTCAGATCAGCTCAGCTCTAGCTGTTGCACCCAATTGGGGACTGAACCAGCAGATGGAAGACCTCTCTCTCTCTGCCTCTCCTTCTCTCTGGGTAACTCTTTCAAATAAATAAATAAATCTTTTTTTAAAAAAAAATGAGTAAATACTCATTAAAAAAAAAAAGAGACCCAGCTTGGTACATCCACATCCCTACCAGCGTACACAGGTTCAAGTGCCAACTCCACTTCCAATTCCAGCTTCCTGCGGATGAGCTCCTGGGAGGCAGCAGTGACGGCTCAAGTCCTTGGGTCCCTGCTACCACACGGGAACCCAGACTGAGTTCCAGGCTACTGCTTTGGATGTGGGTGGCATTTGGGGAGGGAACCAGTGGACGGGAGCTCTCTTTCAAATAATTGTTTAATTCCATGGTAATATTATAAGGCTGGCCCAAGTTAGCGAGATCACAGGTAACCAAATTTGTCACAGATCCTACGTTTCCTAAAGGAAACATCTAGAACTCTGGGCTCTGCCTTCAGCAGCCCTGGGGACTGAGAGCTGAGGGCACAGGGCCTTGACAGGGCCAGGAGGACCCCCCACTCCCCGCCAAGACAATACCTTCAACTTCTGGCTGAGCCAAAAGTTAAAAGACACCCATGTCCCAGCAGGCCACGCTCCTCCATGCCCACTGGATGCCCCGTGGAGCTACCTGCACTGACACTTGCACTCACCAGGAGAAAAGAAGCCAGAGTACGCAACGCTCACCCCAGACGGCCAGAGAGCCGGATGCTGAGGCCAGAGGAGCGACACTCCAAGAGGAGGCCAGGTCCGGGACTTCTCCGCGCACACTCTAAAGCCCCATCCCAGGGCCACCCGCAGACGAGTTCAGCCAGCATCCCTTTTACAGCCCACAGAGCTGCCTGCCTTTCAACTCCCAGCGCCTGCAACAGCACAACAGGGCTTCGAGTGAGCGAGCACTTGGAGAAGGTCAAAGGCAAGGCTGGCTCCCGAGAACAAGTTCATTTAGAAGCGGGACCAGCTGCTAGCTGCATGGCCTCGGGCATCTTATTTCACCTCCTCTGCATCAGTCTCCTTGCCCGTAAAATGGGACTAATGGTCCTGCAGAGAGAAGCTACTGATGCCTGTCGCGCAGCGTGCATCTGCTGGTGGTGCTGGTTCTTGTCCCCATGCCACAACACCCTGAGGCCAAACCTCTACCAGTGCCCAAGAAAGAGAGAAAGCAAGAGAGTCGTGGGCAGGAACACACATTTCTCCAGCCAGCCAGGCGGAAGCCTGGTTCTATCTCATTCCTGTGTTCTCAGAGCTGTCAGGCTCCAAAGCTGCCAGGGACAGAGCCCAGAGCAGCAGGTTTTCCACTGCTTCCCCCATGACACTCTGCTTCAGCCTCCTCCCATGTGCCAGTCCCCTGCCCTGGTCTTATCTCGCTCCCCCCACCCACTCCACCCCTGCCACTGCCTCACGCCACCCCATCACTGACCCAGACCTCTGTTCCCAAAGGACCTGTTTGGGGCCATGTTCCCAGCCCCCTGGAAGTGCATCCTGGCATCTGGCTTGCACTCACAAAGGAAGGGGCAGAGACAGTCCCAATAACACTCTGACTCCCCCATCTCCACTACAACCACCACCACCAAGGGGACAGCTTCACCAACTGCAACCCCTCACCCGACCCCCCACTCTAGGTGCTGCCCAGTGCTCCCAGCACCCCATGCCACACTGGTACAGCAGGAACAGGGCAGGACACTGTTCCAGGTCACATGGTCCCTCAACCCTGCCTGTCCTGGAACCATCGCTGGGAACCTTGGGACAGTGTTAACAACCTCCTCCTTCATCCACAGCCCAGCCTTGCACCCCCCACCGTCTCCTCCCTTTGCTGCTCCTCGAACCCCCAGCTCCCAGGTCCTGTGCAGACCTGCAGGCCCAAGCCCAAACCCTTATCCTTCAGCCTCAAGGGTAGAATCTGAGGCAGGCCAAGGCCCAGCCCTAAGGAAGGCTCTGGCCACCTCCCGGCCATCCAAGCCCCAGGGAACCTTGTGCCCCTGCCCTCCTTGGCAAAAGGAGGATCCAGGGGACGGAAAACGACTTGGAAAAGTTCATGGGCGAAGGCGCTGCCCAGGCGTGGCCCAGCGTGCCAGCACCGCCCACCATGCTGGGACGTGGGCCTCCATTCCGGGCCATTCCAGATGTAGAGCAGCCTCCCCAAGGCCTGTGTCGGGAGGTTCGGCTCCGCCTTCTCTCTTCCCCAGCCCAGGCTGCACTGGGCGCCCACACTCAGCACCCCCCCCACCACCACATAGCACACAACCCCCACGTCAAGTCTCTCAGGCTCCCAAGGCGCCAGGCTCTGGCCAGGGGAGGGTCCCGGAAAGGGTCTCCCAGTGCCTGCCTGCTCTGTACAGTCTGTCCACCGCCCTGCGGGTCTGCGGGAGTCGGGGGCTGGCACCACCCGCGTCGTGCCAAGGATTCCGGCCGAGGGCAGGGAGAGGATCTCCCAGGGACGCAAGGCAGCCTCCGTCTGCCCTAGCAACGGTCTCACGCGGCCCCCAACTCGGAGCCTCAGCCCACAGCCCCTCCCCCAGCACATGCTTTTTCCCCCTCCTCAGAGCCAGCCTGGAAACTCCAGCGAGGGAAGGCTGTGACGCGCGCGAGGCAGCTGGGGAAGGCGGGGAGCCTGCAGCCCGGGACCACCACCACCACCACCCCATCTCCTCCTTGGCGCCCCTCTGCCAGGCACTGGTGGATAGGACCCCAGCCCAGGCTTCAGTGCCCCAGTGGGAAACTCAGGCTCAGGGCGCTTCAGCCCCCTGCGAGCCCGGGCGCTGTGCGGCCACGTCCCCTACCCCGCCCCACGCTCTCACCTGCCGGCGGGGGTCGGCGCCGCCCCCGCGGGCTCCGGCCGGGCGGCCGCCGAGCCGTCCTCCTCCGTGCAGCCGGTCAGCAGTCCCCCCCACCGCCGCCCGGCGTCCGCCCGGCCCTCGCCCCCTCCCTGTTGTCCAGCGCAGCGCCCTCTACCCCGGATCCAGAAGTCCCCTCCCCGCCGGCTCCCGGACTCCCCGCCTTAAAGGCACAAGCTCCTTTTGTCCGGGGTCCCCCTCCCCCCCCTGCAGGAGCCGCGCTGCCCACAGCCTGCGGGAGAGCAGGGTCGGGCGCTGGAGCTCGAGAAAGGGGAGCCCCACCACCACCGCCCTCCCTGCTCCGCACGCCCCCCTGCTCCCCTCCGGCCGCTTCCTCCCCCAGGCTCGGAAAACAAGTGGCCACTGTTCTGGGATCAGGACCCCGGGGAGGGGGCCGTGCCACCCGCTCCCTCCCGCCACTCGGAGCTGCGCCCTGCAGCCTCCCACTCCCACCTCGCCCCGGGGTCGCTGCGCGCGCGCCCGCGGGCAAATCCACCGCCCCCCGGCGGCGACCACCGCGCTCCGCCCACTGAGGGTCGCAGTCCGTCCCGACCCAGTCCCCGAGGGGCCGAGCTGGCGCCCAGCGCCCCTCCAACACCCCTCCAGTCCTGTGGGCCCCCGCCCCCACCCTGCCATTCCCGCCCTCGCTGCCGCGGCCCAGCTCCCTCCCGCGGGAACTCAGTTTAATAATTAATTAAGATTTCATTCCACAAGGCGCCAGGTGTGTGCGGCCTGCTTGCCCGCACGCCTCTTCTGTCCTCTTCCACCAGCCAGCCCCCTCGGAGGCTGCGACCCCAACGTGAACCTGCCGCACCAGAGCCCAGAAAAAAGGGGTCGGGAACCCCTACGCTGCCCCCCGCCCCGCTCTCTGGGGAACCCTACCCCCGAAACCTGCAAACTTACAGGGGCCCTCCCCTTCCCCCTTCACCCAACGCTTTCTGCTGCGCTGCTGGGCGTTGCACGGGTGGAAAGTGCTTTGGGACTTTTACTTATTTCCCGCAAGAAGCGGCCGCCCAAGTTACTGGGCGGGGAGGGGGCGGGGGGGGGAGGGGGATGGGACAATCCCCGTGAGCGCAAATTGAACCCTAGGCGGGCGGCTCCTCCCACCAGCACAGTCCGCCCTTGGTCCCTGGGCCTGGAGACCTGGAGACCCTGCCCACGGTGCCCAGCTCCTGTCCACGCAAAGTCCCAACAAGGCTGCCTGAACCCCAGGGCAGAGCTTGAAGCAAGGAAAAATTAGGAAAAAAAAAAAAAAAAAGAGTTTCCATTACTTAACAGCAATCTACAGCCACAAACTATATATGGAGTCCTCACCAAAAAAAGTCGTGGAAAATACATATTATCAAGAAACTAGCCAAAGATTTTTTTTTTGGTGCCCTAATAAGCTTACATTTTAGTTTTTCCAGAAAGGCAATTTTTGAAATTTATTTGTATTTACTTGAAGGAGAGAGACAGAGATCTTCCATCTGCTGGTTCACCCCTGAAATGCCCACAATAAGCAGGAACTCAACACAGGTCTCCCCTGTGGGTAACAAGGACCCAACTACTTTTTTTTTTTTATATTTCTTTTTATGTATTTGAAAGGCGGAGTTACGGGGGGGGGGGATAGAGAGAGAGAAATCTACCAGCCACTGTTTCACCCCACCCCCACCTCAGCTGGGGCTGGGTCAGGCTGAAGCCAGGAGCTTCTTCCAGGGGTCCAAGCACTTGGGCCATCTTCTACTGCTTTCCCAGGTGCATTAGGAGGGAACTAAGGGGCCAGCACTGTGGCGCAGCGGGTTAGCGCCCTGGCCTGAAGCACCAGCATCCCCTATGGGCACTGGTTCAATTCCTGGCTGCTCCTCTTCCCACCCAGCTCTCTGCTGTGGCCTGGGCCCCTGCACCCACATGGGAGACCAGGAAGAAGCTCCTGGCTCCTGGCTCCCGACTCCTGGCTTCAGATCGGTGCAGCTCCGACCTTTACAGGAACTAAATCAGAAGCGGAGCAGCCGGGACTCAAACTGGCGCCTATATGGGATGCTGCATTGCAGGCACAGGCTTAACCTGCTGCGCCACAGCGCTGGTGCTGGACCCAACTATTTGAGCTATCAAATAATAGCTCAGGGTTCACATTAGGGCAAAGCTGGCATCAGAAGTGAAGCTGGGGCTGAGGCCCAGGCACTAGAATACATCTGGGATACAGGTGTCCCAAATAACCTCTGAACCAGCGCACAAAAAAACTACCCCGCCTCAAAATGTTCGAAGTACTTTATTTTTTTAAGATGTATTTATTTATTTATTTATTTGAAAGGCAGAGTTAGAGAGGCAGAGAGAGAGAGAGAATCTTCCATCCTCTGGTTCACTCCCCAAGTGGCCGCAATGGCTGGAGCTGCACCAACCCAAAGCAAGGAGCCAGGAGCTTCTTCCAGGTCTCCCACACAGGTGCAGGGTCCCAAGGACTTGGGACATCTTCCACTGCTTTCCTAGGCCACAGCAAAGAGCTAGATCGGAACTGGAGCAGCTGTGACTGGAACCGGTGCCCATGTGGGACGCCAGCACTGCGGGTGGTAGCTTTACTTGCTATGCCACAGCATACTTTAAATAAATAATTGCACATTCTATTGGAGCCTTATAAATCAAACAGAGATAGATCATCTGCTTTGTCATTCCTTTCTCATTGCTTTTTCAAACAGGAGTTTTCAGGATCAGATAGGGAAACATTAATTATGTTTGGAAATGAGAAAGCTATGGTTTCTTCTGCCATGTAGGATTCTCACTTGTGCAGTCCTGACCCATAATTTTACTTTTGAGGGCCTCTGTTTTGCCTTATTTTTTCTTTTAAGTTGCCAATCACCATGATCAAAATGTCATCTCAGGGGCCAGTGTTGTGGGGCAGAAGTGGAGCAGCTGCTCCACTTCCGATCCAGCTCCCTGCTAATGCATTTGGGAAAGCAGCAGAAGATGGCCCAAGTCCTTGGGCCCCTGCATCCATGTGGGAGACCTGGAAGATGAAACTCCTGACTTCAGCCTGGCCCAGCCTTGGCATTGTAGCCATCTGGGGATTGAATCTCTCTCTTGCTCGCTCTCGCTCTCTCTCTCACTTTGACTTTCAAGTAAATAAATAAATAATTTTAAAGGGTAAGCCACCACCTGTGACCCTGGCCTCCCAAATGAACACCAGTTTGAGTCCCCAAGTCTCCAGCTGCTCCACTTCCAATCCAGCTCCCTGCTGATGCGCCTGCCCAACTCCAGTCCTGAACCAGCGGATGGAAGACACCTATCTCTCTCTCTCTCTCTCTCTCTCTCTCTCTCAGCCTTCAAGTAAATAAAATAAATCTCTACTTAAAAACTTATTCTGGGCTCTTTGAAGAAGTGGTACCTCTAGCAGAACACAATGAAATATTTCTATTAAAATAACTCTGTTATTTTAATACACATCACATAATTTTGTGCTGTGACAAATCTAAGAATCTGAAAGAGTGAGCACCAAAAGTTTTAGAAAACAATATAAAAAACAACTTCAAAACTGGAAAAATCCTATCCATTATTTTTCTTTGACCCAGAACAAGGAGGATACTATTCAATTTTCATGCAGAGCACCTTGATCAGGTGTGGAACACCAGCCCTGGCAGACCTAGTGTGAAGACTATTGCATTAAGTACCATATTCCGTAAACACCTCCTTGCCAAGGATGGAAAAAACATGGGAATTTATTGGAAGATTTTTATCCTGACAGAAGCGGGGCGGGGGGCTTTTGGCTTGACCACAGCTTGAGACACCCATATTCCGTATCAGAGCACCTGGGTTTCACTTCTGGTTCTACTTCTGATTCCGTCTTCCTGCTAATGCTCACCCTGAGGGACAGCAGCTCTGGCTCAAGTACTGGAGTCTCCGCCACCTACATGGGAGACCTGGATTGAGTTTCAGGCTTCAGGCTTCTTCTTTTTTTAATATATATTTTATTTATTTATTTTGAGAGGTAGAGTTACAGACAGAGAGAGAGGTCTTCCACCTGCTGGTTCACTCCCTTATGGCCGCAGCAGCTGGAGCTGCATCAATCTGAAGCCAGGAGTTTCTTCCAGGTCTCCCAAGTGGATGCAGGGGCCCAAGGACTTGGGTCATCTTCTACTGCTTTCCTAGGCCATAGCAGAGAGCTGGATCGAAAGTGGAGCAGCCAGGACTCGAACTGGCGCCCATATGGGATGCTGGCATCATAGGTGGCAGCTTTACCCGCTGTGCCACAGTGCCAGCCCCCTCTTTTCTATCTTAAAAGGTCACATTTCTGCACATTTAATTTCCTGAATTTGTTCATTCAGCCCGGCAGGCTTGCCCTGTCCATTTCACCACCCTTGACATGGTCGCCCCTGCCACCAACACCGCTGCAGACACTCCCAATCCCCCTGGGTCCCTGGTGGCAGGAGGCTGTGGCCAATTCATCTCAACCACCACCACGCATGTGAATGTAATTTTTTAAAATTGTTATATGTTTATTTGAAAGAGAAAGATCTTTTGCATCCGCTGATTCATTCCCCCAAATGTCTGCCACAACCAGTGTCTTAGGATTCAATTCATGTCTGTCATGAAGGTGGCAGGGACCCAGGTACTTTTTTTTTTTTTTTTTTTTGACAGGCAGAGTGGACAGTGAGAGAGAGAGACAGAGAGAAAGGTCTTCCTTTTGCCGTTGGTTCACCCTCCAATGGCCGCCGCGGCCAGCGCGCTGCAGCCGGCGCACCGCGCTGATCCGATGGCAGGAGCCAGGTGCTTTTCCTGGTCTCCAATGGGGTGCAGGGCCCAAGCACCTGGGCCATCCTCCACTGCACTCCCTGACCACAGCAGAGAGCTGGCCTGGAAGAGGGGCAACCGGGACAGAATCCGGCGCCCTGACCGGGACTAGAACCTGGTGTGCCGGCGCCGCAAGGCGGAGGATTAGCCGGGACCCAGGTACCTGAGCCATCACCACTGCCTCCTTGGGTGCATATTTGCAGGAAGCTGAATTGGAAGCTGCAGAGCTAGAACTCGAACAAGGCACTCGCTCTCACTCTCACACTCTCTTTTAAAGATTTATTTATTCACTTATTTATTTGAAAGT